ACTATGTATCCGCTTGCTGCCACTACCATTTTCTTTCTTTTACAAAAATTTGATTTGGTTCGCGATTAGGTATTATTTTCGAGCTGTTATTATCCAAGGTTTATAAGTTGTTTTTCTTTTGTTTAGGTAGCAAGGTTTCATGTCAAATCCTTTCTTTTTTAATAACCTGCTGTCCCTATGTTTAAAACATCATTTTCAATTAATAATAAATTCTTCTACTAACCTAGATATGTACAGTACGAATCGATTTTATCATTGCCACACATTTAAAGATTTATAAAATAAAAATTTATAAAATATACGTACTTTTTAATAAGTTCTTGCCTATATAAATAACCTGCAAGTTGATGTTAATGTAATACGAGGTGTGTTCAGAAAATATCGGGAATTTTCGTTTTTTGAAACAAATATTTATTTATTCGTCTACATTAATGTTGTCGCCTTCAAAATAGTCCTCATTGAATATTATGCTCATGTGCCAGCTCTTCTTCCAATACTCGAAACACTTTTAAAACTCGATCTTTGTGATAGCCTTTAGTTCTTTCAGCGATGCGCTTTTAATGTCATCTATGCTTGCAAAACGGCGGCCTTTTAAGGTTCTCTTTATTTTTAGGAATAGAAAAAAGTCAGACAGAGGCATGTCTGGCGAATATGGAGGCTGGGGCATTGTTTTTGGCCAAACATTTTGTTCAAAATTTAACAGTTTTAGAACAAATTTTTCTGCCACGCGTTTCATTCTCAAAACATTCGAAAAAATTTTATGGGATGAGCCAATCGATATACCAACATCATCAGCGACTTCTCTGATGGTTTATAACCACAAGACTCACTATAGGCCTTTGTTAACATTTCACAAAATTCATTTTATTTTTTAAGCAAAATTGGATACAAATTCTTTGATCCATTTCATTTAACGAACGAAAAATCGCCGAGCTCATAAAACACGTCTAACCTTAGCGGCTGCCACAGACAAAGTAAGCAATGAAAACGGCTAAAGTTTTTATCATACTTCGGGGGCATGTATACCAACATAATAAAGAAAATTTTATGACAACCGGACCCTCCGAACCCGCGAAATTTAACAATTCCCGTTATTTTCTGAACGCACCTCGTATATTGAAATACAACTAACTAATTGGTTAAAAAACAAATTAAAAAAACGTTTTTTACTTAGTACATTGTTTATAGATATGTAATAGAAGTTTTGATAGATTAATACAGGAAATAATAAATTACTTTTAATTGAAATATTTTCATAATTTTCACTTTTCAGTGCGTTGAAATAAAAGCATGCCTATAACTTTTACTTTGCTGTTTTTTATTAATTTTAGATTATCAACTATTTATATCGAACAATATTATTACTATTAAAAATAATCTGTAGTGAAAGTTAATGGTAATTACACCTTTAGGTTTATGAATAAGTTCAATGGTACATACCATAGGAAAAAGTATAAATACTATACATGGTGTTCGGCAATAACGTTAATATATTTCGCAAAATCACAATCTACAATTTTTTAGTCGCGAGTGCCTATTTACACTGTTCAAAATTTCATGACCAATTTAACACCAAATTAACACCATACATGGTCTATATCGATACAAACCAAAATGGTGTTAAATATGGTTCGTTGGTCCGGTGTAAATTCAAATACTAAAATAGTGTAAATTTAACTTCCACACAGTATTAAAATAAATTTTACCTGGTGTAAATTGAACTTCTTTTCAGTGTTAAATATTATGTGTTTTTGGTCAAATTAAATCATGCTACACAGAAAAAAAGAAGGAAACAGGAAGTTCCTTGATACATTACTAGTATATTACCAGTGGTATTATTCCAAAAAATTGAACTTTCACCACCTATTTAAGGTCTCTTTAGTATCGAACAACTTGTAGTGTCACACCAAAGCAAAGGACTACCTGAGCTTATATACTCTTCATATAAGTCAACAGAGGCGAGATTTAAGAACATCACGTGATCCACACCACCTTTGCTGCGATCGGTACACACTATGCAACCAGGAATGCACGGTAAATTGTTTTAATCGTTTTAACAGATTGCTTTAGGTTGAAGTAACTCTTATTTTACAAACAACATATTTAGTAAACTGAACCATACAGCGGGTTGGTTTCTGGGTTAATTTAACCAATTAAAAAAAATAACTCTGGTTTAGTACCGTCAAACTAATCTTTGTTTATATTAACCTTCCCACAGTTGATTTAAATAAATACTTATGGTTCAACTAAATTAATATAGTTAAATGAAGTATTCCTTTTTTTCTGTGTAGGTGCACTTCTCAAAAATTTTTAGATAAACACAGTTTTGGTGTTTGCTGTATATAATATGTTCAACCATAATTCATGGTGTTTATATTAACACCACTTGGTGTTGGATTTTGACACCATTTTAAGATTAATTTTTACACCACAGATATTTTAAACAGTGTACAAAATCTTATTGTTTCTTTCAAATGTTTTGACAACAATGACCTTTAATATTATAGTCAAACAAGCGTATTAAACTGTTTATCGTGTGTTTTAAAATAATGATTATGATATATTTTTAATTATATGTAATTAAAAATTATTAAATATGTATATAATGACGACGTAAAATAATTTGATCTAACTTTGAAGGCGAATATAACAGTAGGTATTTTATATTATAATGGCAAACAAATTTAGAAAATTACATGTATTATTAGATAATAATACGTCATTATTTTACCACGTTCTCAGTTAGGAAGTAAGTATTAAATATGTTTTATCTGGCTAATTTAAATAAGATTGATAATAATTATTATTATATAATTTAAAAAGCAGCTTTGTTTATAAACAAAAGAACTTTAACCTGTTTTCAGACTACAAATAAATAATAAAACAATACATTTATACAGGGTGTTTCAATAATTATAGAGCCAATTTTATGAAAATCGAACTAAGCAAAATTATGGTTGACTTTGAAACTTAATAATTTAAATTTAAATTAACCAAAATGGTCAAGATAAATATTTAAATTCATTTCTATGAATTTAAATATTAACCATATCTTTGATTATAATATTTATCTCGACCTTAAACTGAAAATAAGAACATTTATCAGAACGAGCAATCTGAAACAGGAAGGAGATAAATGGTTCCAAAATTATTTACCCTGGTGCATCCACCAATTTTGAAACTTTATCAAAATTTGTGTGAATAATTATGATTATTTTAAACTTTGTAGTTATTGGACAATTAACATTAATACTGTAAAAACAAGAGTTCTATAAATAGTTACCTTAAAGTCAAATCATTAGATGACGCTGTAAACAATTATAACTATCTCAGTCGGTAATAATATAGAACTACTTTATTTTGGGTCCAATATAGGACAAAAAGTTCGCACGTTACTTTGGTGGTAAGATTTTTGTTTTTTTGTTAAGAGCAGGGCTGTGTTTATATTACATTAAAAAATATTTCTAAAAAGTGTACAGATCAGTGCATGGTATAAATGTGTTCCTCATGGTTTAAACATAGTCACTTTAATGCGTTTTAATTTTAATTCTGAAAACAAACAGTAAAATGGCCAGTGTCCAATTACTGGTTGGTAAAAAATGTAAATTTCTATTATTGGACATATGTCACATACTCTATTTGGATCCCGGACATTTACCAGCCAATTCTTATGTAAAATTGTCCCCTGAATCCGAAAAGACCGTCAAAAACTATAAAAGTTAAGCAGTTTTTAAGATATAGTCAATTCCATATTATATGTAAAATTGGTTATATTTCAAAAACTGTTCTACTTTTATAACTTTTGACGACATTTTCGGATTCAGCGAATAATATTTCATAGGAATTGACTGCTAAATGTCCTGGATACAAATGACTGTTGACGAAAATTGTTAGTGGCTGTTATGACATTTTTGACTAATTCATTTTTAGATATATCTCTAGTAAGTTATAGTGATTTCTTCATGCAGAATAACAGTGGTTTAAATACAGTGCATGATAGAGAACATAAAAAACTAATGGCAACAAAATTAATAAATTTGGAAAAAACTTTTAACATATATGTATACCACCCGAAAAAATATTAGATATATATAAATCATCCAGTTCCGGCCTAAACATTATGAATGCTTCACAAACCAGAGATACCACACTTAATGATATTTGCAACAAACTATTTCAGAAGTCAGACCAAGGAATTAGTAGTTACCTTCAGAATCCAGAAAAGGGATGAGGAATCCGAGAAAGAAATATATTAATTATATGATATTTACAAAAACGAAAAAAAAATTATCTAAAACAGCAATTTATCTTTAAAAAATATTAAGCAATTTATGTTATTTGATGTAAAGTTGTTATGTTTATATAAAAATTGTATGTCCATGTGTCCAATTACTATATACAATGTCCAATTACTACACTTTTTGCATATAGAAATGTCACTGCCTCTGTCAAAAGCGAAAAGCGTTACCATATGTAGAAACTAAAAGTTTTATTACTTTTGGCCACCACTGTATGTTTTTGTTGTAAATGTAGGTATAAACTTTACTGATTTTCTTAAAAATTAATAATTTCATCGTATTTTTAACTATGACCCCAAAAAGAATACGACAATTTTACCGTGTAATTAAATATTGATTACCTTACATACAATAGGTTCCCATCGCCAACTTAATAAATTTTTACATTAAATATTGAATACCTAGGACAAAATAAAAACGAGGCCATAACCTATCTGTATAACCATATTGGTAGGTAACTAAAAATAAAATTAATGTGTGCAACACAATATTATTATCACGTTACGCCCATTAAATTTTCGAGCAGAAAAACATTTTTTTCCAACAAATTTCTTCAAATTACACACTAACCTAATTTTGGTACTGTTAACTACTGCATTCATTTATAAGATTATAAGTGAATTTATAATGGTTTGAAATAAACGTAACCTACATTTATAAACGACAATTGCAGGAAAAAATTATTAATAATTTATTTTTCAGATTCACGAATTACAAAGCCTACTTAGCCCATCAGAATGGATATCACTTTTTGGAAATCTAAATACAGGTATAATTTTACCCTTTTAGTTGGCCAATTTAATTTAATTAGTTTTAATAATTATTTCTTACAATTAGGTATGAGTTAATCTGCATGTTATTCATGTAAAATGTATTTTTCACAATTAAAGAATTAGTTTATTCACTGCAACTAATTACTATGTATCTATCTCTGACAATTTTGATAAAAATTCCCGATAATTTGTTTCTCTATCCTTGTCGACCTTAAGGATTTCCTATTTTGCACAAAATCCGTTTTTTATTTAATTATAATCAGTTTCTTGAATTAATTTAACGCATCGGCGAAAAGTGGTAATAAAACTTATAAATTTTAATTTCCTAATTGCTGTTGAAATATTTTAAATTTTAAAAAGTTACAGGCTATAAAAAATTATTGTAATTAAACTCATTTTAATTAGACAAGGTTAATTAAATATAACTATAATAATATTAATAATAATAATAATAAGATATACAGGGTGGTCCAAAAGTTAGCGGGACAGAGCAACAAGTTAATTTCCAAAATTAAGTTGAAATTGCTTAAAAAATATTGAAATTTTTATATTTTGATCTATATTTTAAATTCACACGAAAATAATTTACAAAATTGGAAGTTTTCAAAATTTCTTTAAAATTTATAAAACTTTTAACTTTTTAACTACAAATTTTTTTAAAAATTTTCCAGTTTGAAAATTTACAATTTTTCACAAAATTGTCAATTTTTAAAATTCCCTTAAATTTTGTAATTTTCAAATTTCTTTAAAATTTACAAAACTTTCAACTTTTTAAATCCAAAATTATAAATTGGAAATTTTCAAAATTTCTTAAAATTAAATTTTTTTGTAATTTTCCGATTTTTTTCCATTTGGCAAAATTTTTAACATTTAAAATAATTTTTTTTTTAATTTTCCAGTGCAAAGTGCAAATTTACAAACTTCCAAAGTTGAAAATTTAGAAAAATTTCTAATTTTTTTTTGTAATTTACTGATTTCTTCAAAATTTACAGAAAATTTAAAAATTTCATAAAATTAAATTTTTTTGTAATTTTCAGATATCTTCAAAATATAAATTTCCAGAAAATTGTAAATTTTTAAAATTTCCTAAAATTACAATTTCTTTAAAATTTAAAAAACTTTTAACTTTTTAAATCCAAAAATTGTAAAATATTCCAGGGAAATTTACAAACTTGCAAAATTGGAAATTTTAAAAATTTTCTAAAATTAAATTTTGTTTGTGATTTTCAGATTTCTTCAAAATGTAATAAAATTTTAAGAGTTTAAAATTTCCACAAAATTGTAAATTTTCAAAATTTCCTAAAAATTAAATTTTTTTGTAATTTTCAGATTTCTTTAAAATTTACAAAACTTTCAACTTTTTAAATCCAAAAGTTGTAAAATTTTCCAGTTTGCAAATTTAAAAATTTTCACAAAATTGGAAATTTTCAATATTTCCTAAAATTTAAAAAATTTCCAAATTTTCACAAAATTGGAAATTATCAAAAATTACTAAAATTAAATGTTTTTGTAATTTTCAGATTTCTTTAAAACTTACGAAACCGTCAACTTTTTAAATCCAAAACTTGTAAAATTTTCCTGTGAAATTTAAAAACTTAAAAAATTGAAAATTTTCTAAAATTAAATTTTTTTGTAATTTTCAGATTTCTTTAAAAAAAAATTAATTTTCCAGATTGCAAATTTAATTTTTTTTACAAAATTTGAAATTTTTAAAGTAAATTTTTTTGTAATTTTCAGACTTTTTTTAAATTTACAAAACTTTCAACTTTTTAAATCCAAAAATTGTAACATTTTTCAGTTTGCAAATATACCAATTTTCACAAAATTTACTAAAATTTGTAATTTTCCGATTTTTTTTCCAATTGGCAAAATTTTTAACATTTTAAATAAAAAAATTTCCAGTGGAAAGTGCAAATTTACAAACTTCCAAAATTGAAAATTTAGAAAATTTTCTAATATTTTTTGTAATTTACTGATTTCTTCAAAATTTACAAAAAATTTAAAAATTTCCTAATATTTTCTGTAATTTTCAGATTTTTTTTAAATTTACAAACTTGAAAATTATCAAAATTTTCTAAAATTAAATTTTTGTGTAATTTTCAGATTTCTTCAAAATATAAATTTCCACAAAATTGCAAATTTTCAAAATTTCCTAAAAATTAAAATCAGATTTCTTTAAACTTTACAAAACTTTTAACTTTTTAAATCCAAAAATTGTAAAATTTTCCAGGAAATTTACAAACTTGCAAAATTGAAAATTTTCAAAATATTCTAAAATTAAATTTTGTTTGAAATTTTCAGATTTCTTCAAAATGTAATAAAATTTTAAGAGTTTCAAATTTCCACAAAATTGAAAATTTTCAAAATTTCCTAAAAATTAAATTTTTTTGTAATTTTCAGATTTCTTTAAAATTTACAAAACTTTCAACTTTTTAAATAAAAGTTGTAAAATTTTCCACTTTGCAAATTTAAAAATTTTCACAAAATTGGAAATTTTCAATATTTCCTAAAATTTAAAAAATTTCCAAATTTTCACAAAATTGGAAATTATCAAAATTTCCTAAAATTAAATTTTTTTGTAATTTTCAGATTTCTTTAAAACTTACGAAACCGTCAACTTTTTAAATCCAAAACTTATAAAATTTTCCTGTGAAATTTAAAAACTTAAAAAATTGAAAATTTTCTAAAATTAAATTTTTTTGTAATTTTCAGATTTCTTTAAAAAAAAATTAATTTTCCAGATTGCAAATTTAATTTTTTTTACAAAATTTGAAATTTTTAAAGTAAATTTTTTTGTAATTTTCAGACTTTTTTTAAATTTACAAAACTTTCAACTTTTTAAATCCAAAAATTGTAACATTTTTCAGTTTGCAAATATACCAATTTTCACAAAATTTACTAAAATTAAAATTTTTTGTAATTTTCAGACTTCTTTAAAATTTACAAAACTTGTAACTTTTTAAATCCAAAATTTTTAAAATTTACAAATTTGGGAAATTTCTAAATTTCCTAAAATTTTTTTGTAATTTCAGATTACTTTAAAATTTACAAAACTTTCACCGTTTTAAATCAAAATTTTTTAAAATTTTCCAGTTTGCAACAAATTTTTAAAATATCCAAAAATTTTACAAAATTACAAAAAAAATAACATTTTCCAAATTTGGTAAATTTTCCAAATTCTATAAACATTCAAAATTTTTGTAGTTTTCAGAATTATTAAAATTCCAAAAAAATTATCAAAATTAATAATGGTACCTAATGTTTTTTATTAGGCGTTTTACGAAAAAAAACCATGTTTGTTCATATTTGGATCTAAAATTCAAATTCACACGAAAATAATGGTTTTAAAAAACAAAAGCTACACGGTCGATTTTTAATTAACCGCTTTTTTAGTTTTTATTTTCGTTGGACACGCTCTTCAAACGAACTTTCAAGTAGACAACGAACAACAAAAACAATTGAACGCGAATTTACATAGATACAAAACGCAACGTTCCGTCCAACTGCAGTCAAGTTCAGGTCGAACGGAAATATTTCGACTGCAAACGAGAAATTTCTATTTCTTTGTCCACTTTTGGCACAGGAGAATGTCATACATATTCATGTCGTACCTTTATGATAATGGTGCTCTATGGTGGTCTTAATGTTTTTTTTAATTTTTGAGTTCACTGGGTCTTTGAAATTGATAAAAAACAAATTCCTAAAAATTTAAGCTGTCTATATATAGATATATAGATATGGGCGATTCTACAAAAGTTGGACAACTGTCAATAGAGTAGTTATTTTAATATATTTTGTAAATATTTTAGTATATATAATATATTAAAAAAGATCCAGGTTTTTTTAACTTGTCCACCCAATTTTAATGTATTTTTTCAAAAGCACGTTTGTAGAAAAACATAATATATATTCAAAACATCAGTACCTTGGCGTGTCACAACTCCTGAATCAAATATTTAAGTGATTTTATTTTAAAATATATTCAATTTATCTTAAATTTTTCAATTTCACTACAAACTATAAAACATTAAATAATGTATTTTTCATATTGTATCATAGATTCGAATAATAGCAATTTAAAAAAAAATGATAATCCTTGTACTCACTTTTACCCGTCAGTTCTATGTCCAATGTTAAAATTCGAAATTCCTGCGAAATATTGAAGTTTAAACGTCAAGTCCTCGTTTTAACTCAAGTGTTGGTAAAAAATTACCTACAGAGCCCGCCCTTTGCACGACAGTCATCATGAAAACAATGCAAGCGGCGAAGTTGTGCTGAATGCACGTATAGTTCCAGTCAAAATTTCAGTACTGTGGCGAGTAGTTATTTTCTTACGTATATATATTTCGTTGTTATTTATATAAGGCTATATGTGATTTGTTGATAAGTAGCATCCACTAATAAAAAATATCAGTAAAATACCTAATTCCGAATTATAATCTCAAATTTGTATCCCATTCATCAGTTCCATGTTCGATGTTTCGGTTATCTTTTTTCGCAAACTTCAATTTAAATTCTGCTTGCGCAGAACTTGTTTATTTAATGTCATTATAAACTCATATAAATTTGGTGTGGGTTCCATATCTAATAATTGAGATATCGGTATACCCAAAATCCACCAGCCGCCACTGATGTGTGGTATTATTTGATTTTAAAATATTTAATGTATAATATTCTCAAAGTTGCAATAAATCTTATATTATCCAATAAATTATGTATTTAATTAGTACCCTGGTATACTCGTCACTTCCCTTGCATTAAAATTTAGAAAACACAGATATTTCAGAAACTGTTTGAAAAAGTGACTGGCCCGGTCTGGAACAGTATATTTATTATTTTGTCTATGTTCTCATAACAAAATTCTGTTTAATTTTCTGCGAAAACTATATCAACAAAATGAGGTCAAAAGTTGCCCAACTTTTGTAGAATCACCCATATACTCGTAGGTACACCTTTTATTTCTGAAAAGTTTATTAAGAAAATTAATATTATTTTAACGTTCTTTATTGTTTGTTTAAAGGAGTTTTTAAATATTCTCCATAATTTTTTTACAATTTAGCACTACAATATATACGTAGCTATCTTTTTATAAAAACAAATTGATTTCAATGCGGAAGTGTACTTAGAAAACGCAATAAATTAGCAAAGGCTTCACAATGAATACCTAATCAATTGAATTGGAAGATAGTTTGATTTCGTAATTTTCTTACTTCCCACAAATTAAGGAGTACAATACACAGGCAAATTAAAAAAACTTTCTTTGAACCGACGAGTCAAGTGGGTGAATTGAAATGTCCCCCTAGTGAAAATGATTATTTTTTATTTTTGGTTGTTTCACTTTCTTTTGACATCTTAATATTTTTTAAAAACACAATTGTACATACATAAAATATTTATAAAAAATCTACTTACTGAGATATTACACTTTACGGTGAATAGGTTTTTAAATAGCAAATTAATATTATACATATTATTACTAAAGCTAACGCTTATTTTTAGAACACAGCTACATCATAACGTTTCCGGAACACCGGCCAGGGGAAGAGATATTTTCCCAAGAAGATGAAGGCGAAAATTTGGTGCATCGACTGCATATAAACGCGTCAAATTTCGGGCGGAACTTCGAGCTGGAACTGGTGCCCAGTCCTCGGCTTTTGGCGGATAATTTTGTTTATTTGGAAACGTTTGCCAATGGGTCGTATCCCTTGTTTCTAGAAAATGACGAGGACTGCTACTTTAGGGGCGAACACAGCGCGCTTAGCCTGTGCGACGGGATTGTAAGTGAAATATTGAGGTTTTTAATAATAATTTTTTGAAAGGTTTTTTAAAATACATCTATAGCTTTTGTAATTGAGGAATTTGCTTTTTGGAGGGATATAAATGTACACAACTTTGTTCCAAAAATTTTAAAATCTTGCTGAATTGTCAAATTTACAAGATTTGGCAAATTATAAAAAAATTTCAAAATTTCCAAAAATAAATTTTTTTGTAATTTTCAACTTTTTAAATCCAAAAATTGTCAAAGTTTCCAGTTTGCAAATTTACCAATTTTCGCAAAATTGAAAATTTGCTAAAATTAAAATTTTTTGTAATTTTCATATTTTTTTTAATTTACAAAACCTTCAAGTTCTTTAATATATTTTTTTTTAATTTTGCAGATTGCAAATTTTATTTTTTTTACAAAATATGACATTTTAAAAATTTACTGAAATTATTTTTTTTGTAATTTTCAGATTTCTTTAAAATTTACAAAACTTTTAACAATTTAAATCCAAAAATTTAAAATTTTTTCCAGTTTGCAAATTTACAAATTTTCTCAAATTTGGAAAATTTACTAAAATTAAATTTTTTGTAATTTCAGATTACTTTAAAATTTGCAAAACTTTCACCTTTTTAAATCCAGAAATTTTAAAATTTTCCAGTTTGCAAATTTACAAATTTTTAAAATATACAAAAATTTGAAAAAATTCCAAAATTTATCAAATTTTATAATTTACCAAAAATTTTAAAATCTTGCTGAATTGTCAAATACAAATACAAAATTTTAAAAATTTGGAAGATTATAAAAAATACAAAATTGAAAATTTTTAAAAAATATCCAAAAATTCAAATTTTTGTAATTTTCAGATTTCTTTAAAATTTACAAAACTTTCAACTTTAAATCGAAAAATTTTAAAATACAAATTTAAGTACAAATTTACAAATTTTTCAGATTTTTTTAATATTTACAAAACTTTCCACTTTTTAAATCCAAAAATTGTAAAATTTTCCAATTTGCAAATTTACAAATTTTTACATAAATGTAAAAATTTGTAAATTTATGTATAATTGGAAATTTTAAAAATTTCCTAAAATATATTTTTTTGTAAATTTCTTTAAAATTTACAAAACTTTTTTTTAACTTTTTATATCCACAAATTTTAAATTTTCCAAAGTGCAAATTTACAAATTTTCACAAAATTCGAAATTTTCAAAATTTACTAAAATTAAAATTTTTTGTAATTTTTAGATTTTGTTAAAATGTACTAAACTTTTTAAATCCAAAAATTGTAAAAATTTCTAATTTGCAAATTTACAAATTTTTACAAAATTGGAAATTTTCAAAATTTCCTAAAATAATTTTTTTGTAACACTTAGATTTCTTTAAAATTTACAACTTAACTTTTTAAATCCAAAAATTTTAAAAAATTTCCTGTTTGCAAATTTACAAATTTTTACAAAATTGAAAATTTTCAAAATTTCCTAAAATTAAAATTTTTTGTAATTTTCAGATTTCTTTCATATTTACAAAACTTTCAACATTTTAAAATTTTCCAAAATTATAATAATAATAATGCTTTTTATTATGCGTTTTACGAAAAATGCGTTTTTTATAAAATCTTCTGTTTGTTATAAAATGAGATTCCTATAAATAAAATAAAATTAAACAGGGTGCTCAAAAATTAAAATAATTAATAGCAATCCGATACAGTGTATATGTATACCAAATTCTAAGGAAATGTTATATGTATAATTTATTGTTATTATGTATTTCTATGTATGATATTTATAGCCTTTGCTAAATAAACACTTATTATTATTAAATCGTTTGCTTGGGATATAAATATTAAAAAAAAAAAACTTGAATATCAGGGCTTGGTGGAAATTTACCAGTCAAAATTTTATTTTAATTACTTATAATCCTAGCATTCTATACCTTCATAAATTTGAAAACCAGGTAAATAAGTAGCGAATTATTACGTGTAAATTATTCCAAGAGTTAAATAACTTACCTTCCAATAATTTAAATAAATCTCTAATTATGTTAAGTTTTTCCTAATTATTGAATAACTGGCGCATATCCAAGAATTTATCATATACCTACGTGTGTTAAATTAAAAAGTTAAAGTTAATTAAAAAATTTCGCAAGAAAGGCTAAGTTTAATCTTTCTCATGTAATAAATTATTTCTTAAACATCATTGACGTAATATGATGGATAAATTATTAAAATAAACGTTTCTTAATTGCAATCCTATGCGCAAATATTTATGTGGGAATCACAATATAATCTTTATAAATTAGTTTATAATTCTTCAGGTTATTTTGCATCAAATAATTCTCAGGCATATTTTTTAATTAGTAATGCCAGGTAACTAAAAACTAAAGCGATACTTTTTGGAGGTATATCAATTTTCATTTAAATACAGAACATTTTATAATCTACCTCATAAATATTTGTTCATGCTTCGCATCAAGTAGTCATGGAAAAATCTCCGGGAAAACAAGATCAAAAAGAAGTCAAAGACAATTGGGACGATAAAGATAAAGAAACCGTTGAAAAAGTTAAAAAGGAAGAAAATGATAAAACAGAAACAAAGAAAAGTACAAATCAGAAGAAAAACAAAGGAAAATACGATGATATATGTGCTAAAAAGAACGACCTCTACTCTGCATACCAATGACAATTTTCAGTGAGAAAAGAAGCTAAGAAACTCAACCCATTTGTGTTTCTGTATAACTAACTTGTAATTAATTCACAAATAAAAATATTTAAATGATGCCCATGTTTTACTTCACGTATGTGGTATAAATTTGTTCCCCATGGTTTAAACAAGTCATTTTCAAGACACCCGCTTTCAGGAAAATGAAGATCAAAATATTTTTTTGCTTAAATTGACTTTTGGTTGGATTTTTATAAATGTTTAGAGTTTTGTTTACTTACATTTAAGACAGGCAGTGCACTTTTTAATTTTTTTCACGTTTTTTTCAGAAAAATTTGTTTAGCTAGCTTTATATGTCTCCACTGTGTTACCAATTTGAAATCCAAAATTTAATTCAATAAAAGAAGTTGTTATAAAAATAATTTGAAATAAAATGTACTTAGTTCACAAACTTTTCACTCCAATTTTTTATTTTATTTTTTATTAAAAATTGTATGCTTTTTTTTAAATATGTATGTTCGTTAAGTTACTTTTTAAAAGAAACCATTCCGATTCTTTGTTAAAAAAACAATACCATTAATATTTTCTTTTAGTCACTGTATTAGTGAATTAAACTCTAACTTATAAACACGTATTACCAAGTGATAGTGTATAAAAATCATTTTAAGTATTTTTTTTAACAAAAACTAAAAAAAGTAACGAAATAGACATTGGTATCACAACGGACAGGGGTACAAAAAGGACTTAATCAGATAACGTAAAAAAGAAACTATATAGGGTGGTACGATTTTAGAGTAATGCATAAACAAAATCCCTTGTAGTGGTGCTCACTTGCAGAATAACAACTTAGATTTCTAAATTGTAGACACCCTTTTTCTTTGACTATAAGCTGGTGAAGGTCCCTTTTAGTACTTTTATATTGCGTGGAATTTTTCCTTGGATGTAATCTATATCATGAGTTGTAATTATAAATAATTTTAAATTGGTTAATCATAAACTACTTTTAATAAAAGAGACGGTAAATATCCACTTTGTTGTCGAAAAATTCTATTGCGTTACCCTAAATTTCATTGCGTTACCATAAGGTAACATAGTGGACTCGGTAACGCAGTGGACAAAGTTTTGTAAAACCATATTTAAAAAATAATAATAAGACATTATAGTCATTAATTACTCTCAATGAGCTTTAGTGCCCTAAAATAAACATAAACATGAAAAATAGTATTTTTTCTTACCTTATTTTTTTGAGTAACTTAGCGGACAAACAATTATTACATTCGCGTTACCCGCACCTGTTTCAACCGATATCTTCTTCCTGATTGAATAAATAAATTCAGCTGGGTAATGTGTACGTCCGAACATCATTTGTTGATCACGTGAGTACCAAAAAAGTTGCCATATATATGTTTTTTTAGTATTCCATCGGTAAAGCGACGGACGTAACGCAACGGAAAAAATGTCTGGGACATGAGTCAAATTTAAAAAAAGTAGATTAAAATTAATTATTTTATATATAAATTGTTTACTGTATTAACTAAGGATGTTATGGATTGCTATAAAGCAACACAAAGTTCTGGTTATTCAATATTAAAAAAAAAACATGTATGTAAGTTTTATAAAACGCTAATGGGACATGCGAAAATGTGTGTTTCACAAGGAAAAAAACTAAAATCTATGCAAAACTGTTTGTAACATTTGAATCTGGTTGTGTATCGTGGTTTTACTTCTGAATGCAAATTTATTTCAGAGAGGCATAGTCCACAGCACAAACAAAGAATCCTACATAATACATCCACTGCCAAAAAGATTTCGCAAACAATCATCAATTCCTCACATTCTGATACGCAAAAGTCATTCAAAGCTCAGTCCACAGAGGTGTCCTTACGAATTCAACAGTACTGAAGTAACACAAAACAATGACAAAGACTTAACCAAAGCTCTAAAAAGAAGAAAAAGAGAGACCTTCCCGCCTGGAGCACCAGTATTTGTGGAAACTGCTGTTTTTGTGGACAGGGACTTGTTCGAGCATATGAAAATCAATTTTCCCACCGACACAGAACGGGAGTTGATAAGATTTGTTTTGGCGATGATAAATGCTGTAAGCTTAATACAACAAGAAATACAAAAATTACAGTGGCGTATTTTAGGTTCAACTTCTTTACCATGATGCTAGCTTGGGCAGGCCCGTAAACTTCGTTCTAAAAAGATTGGACATCCTGAAAGAGGAAGCGCCAGGTTTGCTAAGACCGCCTGATATCGACAGGTTCCTCTCGAATTTTTGCAACTGGCAGAGAACCAAGAACCCCGTGGGCGATAGAGAACCATCTCATTGGGATCACGCTCTGATTTTAACCGGGTTGGACTTGTATGTTAGAGGGAAGCATGGTAAAATATCCAGCCAAGTAGTGGGTAAGACTCTACTGTGATTTTTTTGTCTCATAGATATATTAATTGGTTTTGTAGGCTTGGCACCAGTAGCAGGAATGTGCACTGCCACAAGCAGTTGCACTGTTAACGAAGGCAGACATTTTGAAAGTGTTTATGTTGTAGCTCATGAAATTGGTCACAAGTATGAGCAAAAGTAGGCAAAGAATCAATTTATTTGATTAATTGTTTGATTCTAGCCTGGGAATGCGCCACGATGGTCCTCTAGCTGACAACGACTGCGACCCAAGCAGCTACATAATGTCACCCACCTTGGGGAGTGGAAAAATTACTTGGTCGAGTTGCAGCAGAAGATATTTGCAGAAATTCCTAGAGTAAGTCTTAGTTTGACACCATATTAAGCACCGTATCAAATTTGAATTTGTAGCACAACTCAATCCAGATGTCTCTTGGACCACGGAAGTTCCTCTGGCCAACTAGATCACAGCGCTGAAGGAGCTCTACCGGGAGAAAGATTCGATGCCAACCAACAATGTAAAATTCCACGTATTGTCCTAAACGATTCTTAAAAATATAATTTCAGGCATGCTTAAGTATGGAAGAGGCAGCAAGCACTCATCGCAGCAACCCTTGGATGACGTATGTCGCGACTTACACTGCGAAAGGGAGAGATACACTTGGACGTCACATCCGGCCTTAGAGGGTACCGTGTGCGGAAAGAATATGGTGGGTGTAAAAAAAACAAACTACGTCGTAATTAAATTTTTGTTTTAGTGGTGTAGAGGTGGTAGGTGTGTAACCAAAGGTTTATCGTTGAATGCTGCATACACAGCGGCGCAAAATTCTGCTACTCAGAGAGATGGCGGTTGGGGGAAGTGGAGGTCTTTCAGCGAGTGCGCTTCCGGTTGCCTATTCGGCGAGGAGGGAAGGCTAAGAACGGGGAGTACCGGTATTATGGTGTCGGAAAGAATGTGCAACAATCCCAGGTAATGATTATTATACTACTATATAATTTACTCAGCAAACGGAAGATTTAGTATTCAAACGGGGAGTCATCCTATACACTCCTTTTCAGTGTTAAATATTATGTGTTTGTGGTCAAATTAAATCATACTACAGAGAAAAAAGGAAACAGAAAGTTCCTTGACGCATTACAAGTACAGTGGTATTATTCCAGAAAATTGACCCTTCAACTCGCTAGAGATAATGTTTTTAGTGCGTTCCACCAACTTAAAATACTTCAAATATTTCCACCTATTTAAGGTCTCTTTAGTATCGAACAACTTGTAGTGTCACACCAAAGCAAAGGACTACCTGAGCTTATATACTCTTCATGTAAGTCAACAGAGGCGAGATTTAAGAACATCACGTGATCCGCACCGCCTTTGCCGCGATCGGTACACACTATGCAACCGGGAATGCACGGCAAATTGTTTTAATCGTTTTAACAGAGTGCTTTAGGTTGAAGTAACTCTTATTTTACAAACAACATATTTAGTAAACTGAACCATACAGCGAGTTGGTTTCACTAAAGTTTTCTGGGTTAATTTAAGCAATTTAAAAAAAAAATAAAATAACTATCTGGTTTAGTACCGTCAAACTAATCTTTGTTTATATTAACCTTCCCACAGTTGATTTAAATAAATACTTATGGGTCAACTAAATTAATATAGTTAAATGAACTATTCCTTTTTTCTGTGTAGGTGCACTTCTCAAATATTTTTAGATAAACACCGTTTTGGTGTTTGCTGTATAAAACATTTTCAACCATAATTCATGGTGTTATATTAACACCACTTGGTGTTGGATTTTGACACCATTTTAAGATTACTCTTTCTACCACATATATTTGAAACAGTGTACACTTCTACATTTTTCCGTTTGCTGTGTAGATTTGGAAGGACATACATCGAGTGTTGTCCAACATATACTTGATGATGGTCGATTTGACAACCTTAAACTTATTAAGAAAGTTAGGGAAACAAGTCTGCTAGATAGTTACGAGTTTATACATCTATAAGAGTAGAAATAAATCTTTAAATAGCGATAGAGGATAACGGATAAATTATTTTGTTAGTTTCCCAACCCAATCCACGGTTTAGGAAACTGTGTCGGTTAGTTACACTTTGCTTTTGAAGATCCAACATTGTTGGCGAAAAGTACTTTAAGTGTTTAGGCGTTGGGGAATATTTCTAATATTTGTTTTCCTATGTAACTTGATGATTTGTAGGCCACAAGGAGGTTTGGAGTGCGATGGCCACGAAAGAAAGTATCAAGCATGCCATGCCCAGCAATGCCTTAATGTGCCCAGATTGAGCATTGGAGAGTTTGCTGAGCAAGTTTGTTCCAGAGCCAAAGACGTCGATAAGGATCTAACTGGTTCTGGCATGCAGAAGATTAGTTCTGACCGTATGTTGGTTTATTTATTTGTATTTTACATTAACGTTTATACAGGGTGTTATGTAATTAATGTTATATATTTAAATACTGAATACCTTTTGACATAAGGAATAAAGAAAAAATATTTAAAAAACATTTTTCCAAAGATAAAGAAAAAATATGCATTAGAAGTTTTTTATATTTTTTGTGATACGCCACTGGTTACACACTTGTTTATCTCTGCACACCTGTATTTTGTGAGTACATAGATACCAACCAACAAAGTAGCTATGCGTTGCCAGATGTAAAAAATTGTTACTTAAAATTTTTCTTGCAAAAAATAAATAAAAACTCAACAAATACAAAAGTTTTATGCCCTTAAAGCTCTAATACCCTTCTGTATTTATTTACTCATCCAGCTATTAGCTTAAGCAATGATTAGAAAATTTGAAATTTGAAATCCATAACCACAAAATTAATTTTTTCATCAGTTTTTTTCTCTGTTTACTCAGATGAAATTGCGACCAGTTCACAGGTTAAACTTTAAACATTTAATTTGTGTAAATAAATCCAAAAGCACTTTCCTTAGTTAAGATATTTACAATTTGAAAACATAACCTAAAATTTAAAAGAAATGCACTAGATTCTGTCATAAAAGTTGGCAGATTTTGTTTGAATTTACCTTTTGACATAAGGAATAAAGAAAAAATATTTAAAAAACATTTTTCCAAAGATAAAGAAAAAATATGCATTAGAAGTTTTTTATATTTTTTGTGATACGCCACTGGTTACACACTTGTTTATCTCTGCACACCTGTATTTTGTGAGTACATAGATACCAACCAACAAAGTAGCTATGCGTTGCCAGATGTAAAAAATTGTTACTTAAAATTTTTCTTGCAAAAAATAAATAAAAACTCAACAAATACAAAAGTTTTATGCCCTTAAAGCTCTAATACCCTTCTGTATTTATTTACTCATCCAGCTATTAGCTTAAGCAATGATTAGAAAATTTGAAATTTGAAATCCATAACCACAAAATTAATTTTTTCATCAGTTTTTTTCTCTGTTTACTCAGATGAAATTGCGACCAGTTCACAGGTTAAACTTTAAACATTTAATTTGTGTAAATAAATCCAAAAGCACTTTCCTTAGTTAAGATATTTACAATTTGAAAACATAACCTAAAATTTAAAAGAAATGCACTAGATTCTGTCATAAAAGTTGGCAGATTTTGTTTGAATTTACCTTCAGTACAAAAATGAACACAATTAATAAAAACGCCAAATTGACAATTTGCATTGTTGTAATTAAGCTAAATTTAAACAATGTTTGTCAACTTTTTTGAGAGATTTTGGAATCACTGTTGTTACCAACCATAACATAATAAATCCACCAGATTAACCTAAAGTTCCTAGTCGATCAGTGGCGTACTTTTTGGTAGGATAAAGGTTATTATAAATTATTTTTAGACTTTGGAATTTAGAAAAAAAAAGTTTCAGGTGCTTCTTTATGGACCCTAAGGAACAACCCATTTTAATATATAACATTAATTACATAACACCCTGTATTGTAGCTGAGGAAGCTTGCGTGGTGTGGTGCCAGAAGCAGAACGGAAGCACCAAGAGCCGGGGTTGGACCTTCCCCGACGGAACCGCCTGCCAGACGCGCCGCCACCGCTACGGTCGTGCATCATACTGCATCAACGGCCGATGCGAGGAGTTCGTGTGCGATCCGTACGACGAGTCGGCGCACGCGCAAAACCCAGACCTGTGCCCGGTGGACCGCGACGACAACGAGGTGATTAGAAGGACCGGATTGAGACGCAGAGAAAGCGCGGTGAGATGGAAGAGTGCCAGCGGCTGCCACTACAACTGCATAGCTCCCGGGAGCGGCATTCGATTGGTGATGGCCAAAGGAAAGCTCGCCAAGTCCAGCATACAGCTCTGCAACCCTGATCAATATGTAAGTGGTCGTTCGTAGCATAATGCTGGATGCGTTTATAATGCTTCTTTAAAGGGCTGCGGTAGAGTGAAGTCGCCTTTTCAACATGCTTCAATGGTTTGCAATAAGTACAAAGATAGAGTGAGGAGGTTATCAGGTTTGGGAATGCAGATATCTCCTGCTATAGGTAAGTTTTCTAAAACGCTAATGGAACATGCGAAAATGTGTGTTTCACAAGTTTCAAAATTAAAAAAAATATATTCTGAAATAAGGGCTTGTTAGGCTTTCACTTGGTTTTTAAATCAATAAGATTCGATAATTTTTAACAAACTTATTGAAATGAATTTTTCAATTGAATCGGTTTTTTAGTTGAATCATTTATTTAATAGACAGTCTAATTTTATAACAATTTTACGTTCAAGTGCCAAACGCTCTTCTTGGATTTCTAGAGATCTCTTCAAATACTTTAGTTTTTCTTCATAATACTCCTCACGTTTTTTATTGTCTTCTTTAACCTTTGCTATATTTTTCTCGGGATTTATAATGGTTGGAGTCTCTAAAATACCATTTGTATGGTCGAGGACAGTCACTGGTGGTGGTACTTCGTCGGTGCTTTCAAGTTTCACCCTGCTTATATCAAAATTAAAAAAAAAATTTTCATTTTTTACCACGACTGAAGTATCTTCTCCAGTACTTCCAGACTCCTTCACAAGTCCATTCGTAATCACTGCTGGTGTAGATTTATTCTCATTGTTCTTGTTTTTATTTTTGGTCTTCGACTTCGATTTTCTTCTCTTCATGTTTTTCCAGGTTTTCTTCCACGACTTCCAATCCTTCGATAGTCCACCAGGAATTGCATTGAGCTCGTTTGTTATGCACTCCCACAAATTTTGAGCATCTCTGTGGGTGAATTTCGAACTAATCTTCCCCTTTCGTAGATTGTTATGTTTTCCAAGAAATTCAGCTAACCTTTGCGATTGTTTTCTTGAGATTTTATTTTTATTCATTGTTATTCAGAGATAAATGATTTAAAATAGTATTTTCTCCCACTTATAAATCAGATATTTTGAAGGTACCAAAAGTTACTTAATTATAGGTATAGTATATACGAAGTCAATTGAAACAGTACGAAATATAGGGTGCAATCAATAAAGTGCATCACGCATTAATATGGTATACAGTAAAACAACGAAATATATGTTGACCTAGTCTCGTATAAGGATTAACTTAAAAACAATGCTTTTTATGTATTTTTTTAGAGTTAACGTGGACTTGATGCAGACTTGTAATACACTCACAGGCAAAATAATCGATCCACACAAATTTTCGATGAATTTCAATGGCAAATAACTTTTTTATTTGATTTCGGATTTAAACAAATATTATAATATATTGTAGATACATTAATGGAGAATCGCTCACATTTTAAAAATTACTAAAAAATACACGTACGTTTATAATATACAGGTTTAAACAAAAATATGTTTTTACCATAAGTTTAAGACACTCCATAGAGTGGCAAAACCGTATATTGTTCTAAATTAAGTTTTAATTATCAAGTCAGATCTATTTTTAACAGTTTTGTTTTTGGTTCACCTTGATATATGTATTTTTGTGGAAAATGTGGATTTTTTTTAAAAAACAATGCAATTTCCAATATTTTTTTCTGTATGAAGAACTAAGGTTGCTATGGTCCATCCATAGCCTATGGAGGATGACAGTGACAGTTTTGTTGAATCATCCCATACTTGGACATGTCATATACAGCTATAATATATTAAAAGCTATCAAATTGTTTTTTGTAAATTATGTGTTAATTTTAAGGTGTCTTCTTACTTTTAAAAATGTCTCTGACTGATGTTGCCCTTTGTACTTTACTTCTTGAGACGTTTAAAACACTTGCCACGTAATACTGTGACCGTCCATCCTGGATTAAATTAATGGCTCTGGCAACATCAGTCGGAGACATATCCATTTTATAAAGTAAGAAGACACCTCAAAATTTAAACATTGCAATTTGCAAAAAACAATTTGATAGCTTTTGAAAGCCGTGTATGACATGTCAAAGTATGGGATGATTCAACAAAACTGTCACTGCCATTCTCCATAGCCTATGGATGGACCATAGCAACCTTAGTTCTTCATACAGAAAAATATTGGAAATTGCAATGTTTTTTAAAAAATCCATATTTTCCACAAAATAAATATATCGAGGTGAACCAAAAACAAAACTGTTAAGAATAGATGTGAGTTGATAAATAGAACTTAATTTAGAACAATATACGGTTTTGCCACTCTACAGAGTGTCTTAAACTTAAGGTAAAAAACATATTTTTGTTTAAACCTGTATATTATAAACGTACGTCTATTTTTTAGTAATTTTTTAAAATGTGAGCGATTGTCCATTAATGTATCTACAATATTCTATAATATTTGTTTAAATCCGACATCAAATAAACAAGTTATTTGCAATTGAAATTCATCGAAAATTTGTGTAGATCGATTATTTTGCCTGTGAGTGTATAGAAGGTACAATTTTCTTTCCCCATTGTTTTGACATCAACACAATTTGTATATAAATTTAAAAAAATATTTTTCAGAGGACCCAGACAGACCATGCAGGGTAGCTTGTCAAGATGAAAACATATCACATCGTTTTTACTTAGTAAATGGAGAAGAAGGCTGGTTCCCATTCGGTACAGATTGTACCAGAGGTTCTTCTGACAAAAAAGCTTTCTGTATAAGCGGTAAATGTTTGGTATGATAAACATTTTATTTGAATCATTTCAATAAAATGATTAATGTATTATTTTTTTATACAGGAATTTGGTTCAGATGATACTCCTTTATCAGAAAGTGAATTTACTCTTCCTTTATTATCCAGATCTCGCAGATCATTACAGAATAATTCCACTAGAATAACTGCCACTTTAAACCAAAAACAATTGGATGAAATTATTGATGGATTTAATCGAACTGTATTAGGTAAAAATAAACAAAATAATAAAATTTACATCTATGGGTAATTCTCCCATAATTTTAATATTTAGATCCACACATTTATATATTTGTTTTAAAGATTTTAGTTTTTTCTTAAAAATAAGAATATTTGAATTTTTAATAATAGTTTTATAAAAACATGCACAAAAGTATAGTAATTGGACATTTTATATAGTAATTGGACACATGGGCCATAGTTATTGGACATACAATTGACTATTTTTTTTTTGAAAAATATATCGAGAATGTCATTCAGAATGACAAAAAAAATTTCGTGAAAATTTGAGCCCTTAATATTAATTTTAAAAGATCTATCATCGCTATTTTTGATTTTTAGTCATAATTTGATGTTTTACGTTAGAACTGTCATTTTTATATAAAATTAAATTCTGATTAAAAATTTTCGTCAGACTATTAATTGAGCTTAATAAATCGATTGGTTTTTTCGATTTGCCCTTTTTACTTTGAAATTTAGTAACTAATGAATCAATGAATATTTAAAAAAGCTCAAGTCGGATTCTTAAAGGAAATTGAATGTTCTACAAAAAAGGTCTCTTGACATTTTTGCCTAAATTTAATTCTTCAAAAGTTTTTCACGATTAAAATCGGAGAAAAACTTAAAATTTCAATTTTTTCAAAATAAAGTAGTTCTATATTATTACCGACCGAGATAGTTATAATTGTATACAGAGCCATCTAATGATTTGACTTTAAGGTAACTATTTATAGAACTCTTGTTTTTACAGTATTAATGTTAAGTGTCCAATAACTATAAAGTGTCTGATAACTGTTTTAATTTTTAGGTAATTTTCGTTCTGATAACAAGTTTTTCGACATAGATTTAAGTAATCCTATACATGTGAATATGGAAATGCCGGTTGATAGACGACCCTATAAGAATTATAAGCCCAATAATGAGTATGATTATATGAATTACGCCTAAGGATAAGTAATTAAAGTCATTTATGTGATAATAGGTAGGGAGGGATGATGGTACAAACTGTTTTTGTAAAAAGTATTATTTTATATTTTGTACTACTTACTACTAAAAATGTGATTAATAAACATAATTACATTGTTAAGAATAGTGTTTGTTTTATTGACTTACATTTTATAAATTTCATTGTTTTATAGTATTTTTAGACTCCTCCTCAAGTTCTTGTAGCACAAAAAACAATTTTGGACTGTCTTTAAGAAAATACATCCAAAGTTGTCTAAGATGGTTTTTCCATTTATCATCTTGAATTTTTTTCTAAAATTATTTAATTAAATTATTACCCAAAAAAAAAATCAATTTTTATTTTGTACCATTTTGGAGGATAAACGTGTAGCATCCTGTACGGAACTGGTTTGGTTTTTAACCAAGGTATTCACTTCTTTTATGGCCCTGTACAATTCCGATGATATCCCAACGATTCTATTGGTTGAACCAGACGTTAGAAATTGTTCTAAATTATCCATATTTTTTTCCCTATAGCGCAAAAAATCAACAGCATTTTTTTTATTATTATTATTTTTTTAAATAAATTTACTTACATGTCTCTGCTATATTGGCAATGTTCTTCAAAGTCCCTAACAAAAACCTGTTCCTCTAAATTGCATAACTTCATTTTAAAGTCATTTACAGTCTGCAATATTGATGTAAGGGAGGTTTTATTTTTCGACAATATTTTCCCGATGCTTTGTACAAATTTAAACTTTTCATCCAAAGGGTTTTTCGTGTATAAATCATAATCATCAATTATTGTGTTCATTTTTTCCTTCAATAAATGTTTTTGTTTAGTTTATTACATGATATATGGTTGAATCTCACGAAATGTCCCCCAAAGTCTAAAACCTATCCTCCGTGACGGTCAGTTAGAATTTACATGCAGATGAGAGTGTTGCTGTTTTATAATTCAAAAGTTTAAGTTCATTAATTTGCTATTTAAAAACCTATTTAAGTGTCAAAAGATACAATAACTTATTTCAAATATGCAAAGGGATTTAAAAAAAAACATACGAAATCCTATCTTCCGTGAAGCTCTAATATTCAAAATGTATGATTTCTTAAAATTCTTGCATTTGTGCAGAACCATTTATGTTATGTTATTGCTAGAACTAGTGGCTTCCCAAACCCCATTCAAGACTGACAATAAAACAACCAAAAATAAAAAATAATAATTTTAACTTGAGGGAGATCTCAATATATTCACCCATAAATCTTATTTAACAACTTACAATCCTAGCTTGGCATATTTCCAAATCCTTTGAAATGTAATCTAACAGTTTCTTGAAAAAACTTTCTGTCCCTTGAATGTCTTTACCTTCAGATTTAAATAAATTATATAAAACTATGTAATAGGATAATAATTTATAAATGCAGGTAAGGACACTATTGAGTTTTGTTAATCTTTGCCTAAAATAAATGCATAGTACACTCACAGGCAAAATAATCGATCTACACAAATTTTCGATTAATTTCAATCGCAAATAACTTTTTTATTTGATGTCGGATTTAAACGAATATTAAAGAATATTGTAGATAAATTAATGGACAATCGCTCACATTTTAAAAAATTACTAAAAAATAGACGTACGTTTATAATATACAGGTTTAAACAAAAAGATGTTTTTTACCATAAGTTTAAGAATCAATATCTTCCACAAAAATAAATATATCAAGGTGAACCAAAAACAAAACTGTTAAGAATAGATGTGACTTGATAAATAAAACTTAATTTAGAACAATATACGGTTTTGTCACTCTACAGAGTCTCTTAAACTTATGGTAAAAAACATCTTTTTGTTTAAACCTGTATATTATAAACGTACGTCTATTTTTAGTAATTTTAATTAAAATGTGAGCGAATGTCCATTAATTTATCTACAATATTCTTTAGTATTCGTTTAAATCCGACATCAAATAAAAAAGTTATTTGCGATTGAATTTTTTTATTCAAAAGTAAATCTGATTACATTTCTTATGAGTACATAAATAAAGTAGATACCATGTTACAAGAAAACTGTAAAAATCTGTAAAAACAATGTTTAAAGAAAAAAAATACATTTTTCTTGCTTTAAAAAAGGATATTTTATTTTAATGAAAACATTTGACTTATAAATGGCTTTAAACAGATATTTTATTTGAAAACCCATTATTTAAAACATTTAACTTAAAAAGAAATTAAATATGTTTCTTACACTTTTTTATATTTTTATTTGGTATGAAGTAAATATTATTTGCGTTAAAACAATATATTTTATTTCATTAAAAAAACATATAAAATATTTTTGTTCATTAATAATATTTTCTTGAAATGTTAATATTGTGTCTTAGATAATTTTATTTGACAATTTAATATAAAAATCGAATAATTTTATAGAATTTTAAATGAATTTCATAAGAGAATAATATTACAATTTAAAATATTTAAAAATTAAATACTTACTCAGAATTATTTAATTCTTGCTGTTGATATCTCAATTTTGGTTGGTTTATGCAAATTGTGGCATATTTATCACTAACATTTTCCATCATTTTACACATCATGTTTTTACTTTCAGTTTTAGCATCTATATTGGCCTGCAAATGGACACTAAAATAAAAAGAACAGTTAAATAATTTTTAAAAAATATTACATACTTATACAAACCTTTCACTTAAACTACAAATATTTTCCGCATTTTGCTTTAAAATATAATTCAGTACAGCTTTTAGTTTTCCTTCTTCCACCTTATTAGCTAAATATTCTTGATGGCTGTTATAAATCCTAAAATAAAAAATAACCCCTTTATAAAACCGCAATAAATCTAAGTTTAGAATTGAAATACCTGCTTTGAATATCTGATAACATCACAGAAATTTCATCCTCTTTCATTGTAAATTCCCCAGTTAAATCAGAAGAATTAAGAAAAGTGTTCTTCATTAAAACATTTAAATATGGTGACAAACCATCAATATTTTCTTGCAATGAATTCAAATCCATGCTGTTTAAAAAATTGGGAAAATGACCCTAAAAAATTAAAATATTGAAACAGTTCAAATTTAAATGAAATATTACAAATTTGAATTCTTGCAAGTTCCTCCCATATCTTCTCAGTTGTTTTAAAAGTTCCTCATGTAAGTTATCCAACTGTACACTGTGATTAATACATTTGTCGTAGGATTCTTTTAATTGCAAACTCGATTGAATAAAATTTGAGTTTGCTTCGGATAATTCGGAAGTAAATTTTAATTTTAAATCCCTAAAATATTTTTTTTATAGCCTGGCACAGAATATAGTTTATTAAATCATATATAACAATTTACACAATATTTATAAATATAAATTTATTTAAAACTTACTGTTGCATTTTTAAAACTGTATCACAATTGGCATTTTCTTCCCTAAGTAACTCATATTCATCCTCTAAAAATTCGATTTCTGTCTTGTTATTCTCAACATCAAATAACCCAGGATATACATTCTCTATATTACTCAACTCTTTTTCATATTTCACATCAATTAAAGGCTCTGCAATTTCTGTATACCTACAATAAATGCATTAATCACAAACATTAATATTTTTACATTACCTACTCTAAATATTCCTGCGAAGAAATATGATTTTCTTTGGATAACGAACTACACATCCAATTTAACATTTCCTTCATATCTTCTTCATTATTATCGAACCACGCTCTGACGGCGTTAGGGCTAACATCTCCCAATTGAATGTTCAAATCTTCAAACACCAGCAGCAAATCGTCTCCTGTGTATTCTTTCATTTTTTAAGCAATATCCGTTGATATTCAAAAACATAACCTCACAAAACAAGTGCAAATTTGAAATTGACGTTTAGTTTTTGCGCCATCTAAGTGGTATAAATCTAACTACACAAAGTATACTGTAATAATAATAAGAAACGGAATTTTTCTTTTATATAATAATTATTTACGGCGTACAAAAATCAGGTAACAATAAATATAGTATTGGAGACTTTTATCTAATTATAATACTGTGAAATTGGTTGAATATACTTTATGGAGTAGTTATAATTTCACCATATTGGAAAGAACACTGTGGTAGTTCGTTTGAACCATATGTTGTGTAGTTTGAAAAATACCATGCAGAAAGTTTGTATTTGTGGAATAATTTCGCAAATTTACATTTATATTAGCATTTGATTAACTTTAACAGTGCCACCACAGACTATAAAGGTATGAATATATACAGGGTGTCTCCGAATTTTCAAAGCCATTTTTCTTAAAAACCTTTTTTGTATGCTTTGAATCACAAAACATAAATAAATAAATGATTTGATTTGATATTTTTTTACAGAAAATATTGATTCTTTATTACTTAAAATCAAAAAATGCTGGCATTACAAGTAAGTCTTTTATTTTTTTTATTTTGTCAATTACCAACTTTAGAAAATATTTCTTTCTAATTATTATAATAATCATATTGGCTTACCTTCTTGTTTATAATAATTAAACAATAATACAGTTCATTTTTTTTATCTGGACTCGTGTTTTTTTGTTAGGTTGGTGGCTTAGGTATGCCAGTTTGACTTAGTATTTTTAGTATTTAAAAATGGCACTTCTGCTAAAGAATTTAATTTAATACTTTGACACTGCCAAATTGACAATAATATTCATTATTGATAATTTACTTGTCAATTATAAATAAAAAGTTAATTATGCCAAAAATAATAGCAACGAATTCGAATGTAAAAGCCCTTTTGAGGGCAAAACTTCATTTTGATGAAATTATGCCAAATGCCACAATGGAAGAAAAAGTACATCGCCTTATGGACATTTTTGGAGTAAAAAAGTAACGAATTTGGTTTTATAAATATTACATAACACATTATTTTCACATTATTCACCATTGGACAACATTTACGTTCACAAAAAATTGTAATTTCTTTTAAGTATATAAATTCTTTTCAAAGCGAAGATTATTATCCGCTAGGAATACTTTCTCTTCTGGGCCGTAAAGCAACCTATATTTAACTATTTTTTTATATGATTTTACTCATCCAAGCACCACCAAAGCCAAATTATAATTATAATTGCATTTTTAACTACGAATTTCGACAACTCAACTTGACAACTGCACAATGTAACCTACAATAATTTATACATAACCACAATTAGATTTATAACTAGCTTAGTTTGTTTTAATCAATGCGACCAACTTGACAACTGTATTTATCAACCAAAACCCTAAATTTGCAACGTTGCCGCAGTCCAGATAAAAAAAGAACTTTAGTTAATTATTAATGTATATACATTACTAAAATATTCTATGTTTAAGTAGCTTGGAAACAAAAATGCGGTTTAAATTTTGACCTGACGAAATTAAACTTTTTTACAGAAATCGCAAATTTATTACCAACTGAAAGTGAAAAATAGTTCAAAAATTTCAAAAAAATGCCCTGAACGATACAAAGAATTTAAAACAATTGATGGTGTATCAATGTGGGATATTTACAATGGTATTATTAGAGAGGCGCGCTTGGCAAAAAATGAAAAAAAACCCAAATCAATTTTAAATCTTTTGAACAAAATAATCCCGCAGTTGTATTTTGGAACGAGTAAGAACCGAAAGGTATTTTACAGGTTAGTGAAAAAAATACTTACACAATCAAGACATGAATGTGTGTATTCCTCGGAACTGTACAAGAGTTATGACCATCATGATATACCCTGGTTATACAAACAAAGTGAATTCACACGCCCTCTGTCATATTTCAACAAAAAAATACTGGAAAATATTGTTAAACCCCTCATAGCGCATTTTTATCACATAAATTTATCACATAAGACTCATAAAGTTGAGTTTGTTGAAAAAAGGGAGTGGCAGAAATTCCAAGCAAAAGTATTTAATAAGTTGATAAAAGAGCAATATTTAATACCCTGTGAGAAGAAAGTTGATACTAAAAATATATTGAGGGTGAAACCAAAGTATGGGTGCGCTAAAAAGGGGTTTAGACTTTTGGTTTACTATATGGATGCTCCAAAATCACACAAGGAGTTTCACAGGATATTATCCAAGAAAATAAGGGAAGAATCTGAGAGGTTCTTTAAACATAAAGACCTCTTTGAATCGTGGACAGAATTTATTCGGAAGAACAAGGGTAAAGCTCTGTTTGGCGCCAAATTCGACATTAAAGATGCGTACGGTTCTGTTGATATAAAGATGTTGAAGAAAATAATCAAATCTTCAAGTTTATCGGACAACATCAAACAATATGTAACGTCGGAGTTAAAATACCAGTACGTCAAAATACCGAGGAAAAATGGCGGGGTTTACAGGTGGAATCACGGGTTACCTCAAGGTCACCGTCAGTCACCTTGTTTATGCGAATTGTACATAACCTATATGGAAAGTGTGAACTTTGAAAAATTCGTGAAAAAGAACTGCTTAATACACCGTACGGTAGACGATTATTTGTTCGTTTCAACGGATTCTTCTTTAGTGTATTCTTTTGAAGATCTTTTGCGGTCAATGTTCAAACTAAACGAATCCAAAACTATTATTAATACTAAGCATGAAAGTGGCGGGTTAAAGTACAACGGACGTTTATTTAGGTTAGAATCGGGGGAAATAATAAAATTATACGAATTCTCTGAAAGATATGAATTAAGACACCGTTTTAGGATTTGGAACATTTCCTACCCAATCCCAGAACAAAACTCAATCAACTTTTTAAACCGTCTCTTGCTGGTGAAATTTAATTTTCACAACTTCACGAAGTTTGAACTCAACACCATAGTGAACTCGCCTGAAACAGTTTTGCAGAACGTTTTTTACGGGTTTATATTTTTGGCCCACAAGTATGACTGCATCGTAATGTCGATAAAAAACACTCAAGTCGACAAACAATTCTTTTACCCTCACTTAGTGTCAACTTTGAAAAACTACTGCAAATACATTCACAACGTCATCAAAAAACACAAAGGTGAACATTTCGAGCCGATAAATTTTTTTTTATTATTCTCCATCGCTTGTAAGGCTTTCATTCTGGTTTTTAAGAGGAGATCTATATTTTATCAAGAAGTTATATACTTTTTAAAAACTCGTTTATTTTTTAGAGATTTTGGTGAATTAAATTGGATGTATGAGGTTTTTCTAAAAATCCCTGAATGTTTTAAGGGTATTTGTATGAATAGGGCTGCGAAAATCTAAATAAAAGTTTCTTTAAATTTTGTGTACCTATTGTATCTAAATGTATGTTTTTATTTAGGATTATAAGATTTATACACTGCTAGCTATTAAATATATGTTACTATTTTTATTTATAAGTAGAATATATATATATTTTATATTTTGTTTTTTTTACCAGACATATTAAAGGACGTTGACTACATTAACATACGCTAAAGAAGTACCGGGTTATTACGTTGCAATGAAAAAACTAAAAAACTGGTTTAGTACTCGATTTCGATTGATTATTTTTTATATCATTGATAAAGAATCTCAACGCTTAAATGCTTATATAGTTACGTTAGTGTGTGTATTTTATCTAAGGGATCATGGTGAATTATTGTGTTTTAAATTGTAAATAAAATTCAAGAACTAAATCTTTGCATTTTCATGTTTTGCCAAAGGATCCAATTCGGTAAGTACCTTTGTTGGTGCAGCATTAACTAATGATAACTTTACCTAATATAATTTATACTTAAGTTTGGACATTTTTAAGAAATTGGTAAAAAATAATTTTTGCACAAACATACAATAATATAATAATGCTAAATGCTGTTTAAATTTAGACGACTTATTTGTTTGACGATTTTTACTGAATTGAAATGTTTACACTTTTCACGTTAATCACTACTAAAATATGTATTTATTGTATCTAATAGATACAATTTATATTTAAAGAGACTGTATGGAATTTATTTCTTCATTCGGATTAACACTGTTTATTGGAAAACCGGTAAAAAAAGCTGATTATTAAAAGTTATACTTTTGTTACGATGATAACAACCGAGTGGTGGCGCTACTAGCGATACTTCTTGAGCGTATATGCTAACAAAGAAATTTAAATTAAATAAACTTCCATATATCGACACTTGCTATTTGTATACTAACAAAAAACAATAATAAACTGAAAGTTTGACCTTGAAATGAAATATTTTGAGTTTTAAGTTTATAAACATTTCTTTTTTCGAAAAAAGATTTTACCAAGAAATGCCCAAGAAAGAAGTTGAAGTTGGCTATAATACATTAGAAAAAATTGTGGCACCGGGTGTACCTATATTTCTTATAATATCGATATTACTAAAATAGGTAGCAATCACATAATAATATAATGATGCGTATGTCTAAATATACTTCAATATCGTAGCCTAATGAAAAACAAAACGCTCCATTCTCGTAGGCTTCTGTTTACTCACAAAGTTATTTTAAACAGTGTGCCTCTCTCTCTTGAATCATTAAAAACAGTGTGAGTAATTTTGGACTGTATTCAAAATATTTCGAAAGTTTATGTTTCTAGAATATTTATATTTTGTATATAATTCAGGTATTCGCGATTTTAGTTTCAGTTGCAACGGTACTTCACATCTGTGATATTAAGAATAAAAATAAAATATAAACGTAAGTATTTTATTTTTATTTATTATTTATACAGTGATTAAACTTTTTTGGGATGCTAATAGATGCACAGTAAACGGAAAAATATAGAAGTGTATTGGATGATTGTGATTTTTTTCATTTTATTAATTAATGAAGCTGTGTTGAATATTTTTCTTAAAAAAATAATTGCCAATGGGCCATTAATTCATTTGTTCGTAGATGCTACAATAACCTGCACTGGTGTGTACTTTTTGATGAACCAGTTTTAAATATTGCTGTGCTAACATACACCAGTGAAGATAGTGCAGGGTCCACCAACAGACCTCATTACTAAATTTTTAAAGCTTAATAGCGTTTTTTCAACATAACTTCTGTACTTTATATAATACATAAATATACTTTACATCATATCCTCTGTGCTTAACATACCTGAGTTGTACGGTAAATAAAAATCAGACAGAGGAACCAAAGAAAGGAACTGTTTTCAACAAAATCATATGCAGAAATGAAAGTATTCAAAATACTTGCATCCATCAAAAGATCAAAACTTCTTGCAATATTGAATTATACCCTCTTTTTATGCTCTCAGAGATATTGACTAGAACAGTATTGGAGAGACTCCAGTTGCTATAACTTGGTAGAGTAAAGAGATAGCCTTCTATATTTTTTCGTTTGCTGTGTATCATCCCAAAAGGTATAAATAAGTCTATTTAAATATGAAAACAAAAATTAATACATTTATTTCATAGATGTCTGTGCCATTAACTTTCCGCGACTGGTGGTTAGATGAAGACATATTCTCCCGTCCTACCCATCGTTTGTTGGACCAACATTTCGGTCATGGGTTAAGAAGAGACGATCTCTTGAACTCCATAGAGAGTATGAGAGGCTCATCTTACCTCAGACCTTACAATAGACCATGGAGAACGTCTACTGCCCTGCAAAGGAACGATTCTGGATCGACCATCCAACAAGATAAAGAAAAGTTCCAGGTAAGCAAAATGTTGTTTGCAACCCATTTAAATATACTAAATATATAGGCCTCTGAAATGTTCCAGGTAATTTTGGATGTTCAACAATTCACTCCAGAGGAAATTGTTGTGAAGACAAGCGGAAACAGCATTACAGTCGAGGGAAAACATGAGGAGAAACAAGACGAGCATGGATTTATTTCTCGTCATTTTGTGAGGAGGTACATTCTACCTGCTGACCACGACATCAACCAAATTACTTCATCGTTGTCCTCCGATGGTATTTTAACTGTTAACGCGCCAAAGAAGAGTTTGACACCACCAAACACGGAAAGAGTCGTTCCAATTTCTCAAACTGGACCTGCAAAATCCACCGTAACCGAAAACCAACCAAAAATTGAGCACCCAAACTAATTTGTACATATTAATAAATAAAACTTCTTGATATAAAAACATTTTTTATTTATACGCATGACATTTAAACATTTTATAAATAGAAAACAGTGTGGCGTTATGATAACGCATTTCCTTAATATTAAATAAAATAAAACAATAATTTAAAAACGCGCCAGCGCGCTTCATAAAAATATACATTTTTAAAGGTATAGATAGATGTAGATGAGGTACACACATTTTAATGTAAACTTTAATACATTCACAGTTTTCTGAGTAGATAGAATCTTAGATCGCCCACGTCAACACTGTGACCTGAAAATAGTTTGTAGATCAAAAACTGCAATAAAAGTTTAAAAAAACTACAAGAAAACAATGTATAATTAATTTTTTCTGCTCCCACCTTTAAAACGCCCTTTATCGTACATGTTTCCATGACACTAAGTGATCTTTAAATACACATTGACAAGTTGTGGCTTTATGGCGCTTTAGTCACGGGCTGAAGTTAGTTTTAAGTTAGTGGACAGTTGTCAAATGTCATACAATCGTTAAAATAAATTGCCTTTTTTGTAAAATAATACTAAATGTAAAAATTATTTTATTATCTCAATAAAAAAATACAAAAGTATTAAATAGTTTCTCAACGCCAATATTTGAAAAGTTTATATGAACATTGTACTGACCTTTTAATTTCGGGCACGGACTCCACTGTAAAGTGCTCAAAACATTTTCTTTACTTTCACTGTGAAAAACTGTCAAATTTCAAGAAATACATTTCGATTTATAACCTTTATAATTGTGTTTATAAAATATAAAAATTTGTCATTTGATGGTGACACACAGATTCCCCTATTGTTTCATAGATGGCGCTCTATACAAATTTTTGATTTAAATCATTTTAAGATAATAATAAGTATTTGTCGTAGAAAAAGTATAGTATGCACCTCGTTTATAAACTTTTCTATACACTCATAATATACTATTTTTGTCATTAATAATATTTTCTTGAAATGTTAATATTGTTTTTTACGTTTGATCTTCAAATTATTCGACAATTGAATCTAAAAATCGAATGATTTTATAGAAATTTTGATGAATTTCATAAGAGAATAATATTTAAATTTAAATTCAAATGGCGGTAACTGGGTGGTACTCAAAGTGAACCAAAATTTGTCCTACTGAAGGGCATACGTTGTTTTCTTGTACATGGGCTGTATAAAAGATGTATTCAATTAACGCACATTTTACTTACGTGTGAACCTGGATCAGTCGTTTTTACTAGGCTTGGGAAAAATGGGAGACATAAGTACAGTGTTTTGTAATTTTTTGATGTCGGCTAATGTGGTGTGACCTTGCTCATCAAACTCTTTCCATCGTATGTAGTTCTGCCTCATGTGTGTCAGTAGTTCAGGCATATCGATAAAAGCTACAAAACATAGTAGATGTAAACTTATAAGTTTTATATATCATTGTTTTGTGTAGCTTACCATTCCAAGCTTCAAACATGTCATTGATGATATAGTCGACGAAACCAATCTGTGACTTGGGAATGGAGCAAGTATTCTTATCGAACATTGGCATAACAACCGGAAGCCCTTTAACTTTTTCTTCATCAGTTTGCTGGAAATATTCCTCAGCTATCCTCCTGGCCCACTCCACACACAGTCTCAAGGGCCTTGTGGGATTGGAAACGTCAGAACACTTTATCATCATCCTCTTTACCAAAGTCACATTCTCTGGTAGTGATAGAGGAAAGTAATCCTCACCTTCAGGCTAAAAAACAATTATTTAATATCGCTAATGTATATCTTGGACTAATAGAGAAAGTGGGCTGCTCTACCTGATCTGTTTCTCTGGTACAGAACACGTTAACAAATTTGGCTAGATGCTCGAAGTGTTTTGTCATTTCCGTTGCTAGAATCATGTCTATAACATTATGCCTTGCGATTTTGTACACCTCTCTATCCAAGTTTTTGAAAATATTTATTCTATCATCACCTACAAAATGAAAGAACTCATAGCAGATTCTTCAGGGAAAGAGGGTACCAATAGAAGTGTATATGATGACTCCCCGTTTGAATACTAAATCTTATAGTTTTATCAGAACTGTATTGAATCGTGCTTTGCACGACTATATTTAAAGTCAAACTCAATGGTGTCTTACAAGATACATTATTTTGATTATCTACATTCAACAGAGAGGTAGAAACTCGACCCTGTCGAATGGCGCAGTCGTTTATGTCTCTAGAAATTATTGAAAAGGGTTCAGTCCAATGGTGCAGCAACTTCGGATTCTTATTCTCTTCAAAGACATAGAAACACAAGCTTTTCGAATTTTACTGGCAATGATTTTCGTTGATGTCCCCGAGAATTATACAAAAACAACGCAATGCAATATCGCAAAGGTTTCGACTTCTCTTTACTCTACCAAGTTATAGAAACTGGAGTCTCTCGAATACTGTTCCAGTCGATATTTCTGAGAGCATAAAAAGAGGGTGTAATTCAATATTGCAAGAAGTTTTGATCTTTTGATGGATGCAAGTAGTTTAAATATTCTCATTTCTGCATATGATTTTGTTGAAAACAGTTCCTTTCTTTGGTTCATTTTTCTGATTTTTATTTACCGTTACAACTTAGGTATGTAAAGCACAGAGGATATGATGTAAAGTATATTCATGTATTATATAAAGTACCTATATTTGCATTAAACATTTCAGAGGTTATGTTGAATAAACGATCGATATGCTATTAAACTTTAATAATTTAGTAATGAGGTCTGTTGGTAGACCCTGCACTATCTCCACTGGTATATGAGGAGTGATTTTTCAAAAGGTCGTATTTCCATTTGCAACACATTTTCAAAAAACGAATATAACGTGTGTAGGTTAAGGCGATATAGATTATTTAAAAAAAAAATTCTGATTAATGTATAATACTACTTCAGACCTGCTGTCGTATTGGTAGTTTAAATTTAAATATTTATAGCAATGGTATTTTTAAAAATTATTTGGAAATAAGACCTTTTGTATGAAATCATTTTGGAAATGTGCCTTTTTGCTGTGTACAAACTTGGAAATATTACTTTTTTTATTGAATACCGTTTTAAAAAAATATATGGAAAAATATCTTTAATGTGCTAACAATATTGAAAAAAATATGTAAGGCTTATATTTTAAGGATATCCATCTCTGGCTCATTATATAAACACATCACTTCTTCATCCTATTCTTGACATTCAACATCTTGTGCAACATATTCACCATTTAATATATGCCTTTTAACCATACCTTTATGATTTTGTAGAAAAATTAAATTCAAGTAAAAATGGAAATACGGCCTTTTGAAAAATCACTCCTCATATGTTTGTACAGCAATATTTGAATCTGGTTGATCAAAAAGTACACACCAGTGCAGGTTATTGTAGCATCTACGAATAGAACAAACGAATTAATGGCCCATTGGCAATTATTCTTTTAGTAAAAATATTCAACACAGCTTAATTAATTAATAAAATGAAAAAAATCGCGTCATCCAATACACTTCTATATTTATCCGTTTGCTGTGTATTTGGGTCATCGTTCTACACAGCAAACGGAAAAATATAGAAGTGTATTGGATGACGCCACGTTTGAATACAATTTTCTAAATCTCGCCAGGGTATAGAGTTGTATTCGTCAGTCGAGCGTTTCAATACTCTCCACAGTATAGAGGTCGTAATTTCACTTTTGAACTAGTATTAATTTGAAAACTATTTCATGCTTCAAAAAAACTATATACAATATGATTGTGATTTTTTTCATTTTATCAATTAATTAAGCTGTGTTGAATATTTTTACTAAAAGAATAATTGCCAATGGGCCATTAATTCATTTGTTCGTAGATGCTACAATAACCTACACTGGTGTGTACTTTTTCACCAACCAGATTTAAATATTTCTGTACTAACATATACCAGTGGAGATAGTGCAGGGTCTACCAACAGACCTCATTACTAAATTATTAAAGTTTAATAGCATATCGATCATTTTTTCAACATAACCTCTGAAATTTTTAATACAAATATAGGTACTTTATAAAATACATAAATATACTTTACATCATATCCTCTGTGCTTTACATACCCGAGTTGTAACGGTAAATAAAAATCAGACAAAGGAACCAAAGAAAGGAACTATTTTCAACAAAATCATATGCAGAAATGAGAAAATTCAAACTACTTGCATCCATCAAAAGATCAAAACTTCTTGCAATATTACACCCTCTTTTTATACTCTCAGAAATATTGACTAGAACAGTATTAGAGAGACTCCAGTTTCTATAATTTGGTAGAGTAAAGAGAAGTCGAAACCGTTGCGATATTGCATTGCGCTGTTTTTTATAATTCTCGGGGACATTAACAAAAATCATTGCCAGTAAAATTCGAAAAGCTTGAGTTTCTATGTCTCTGAAGAGAATAGGAATCCGAAGTTGCTGCACCATTGGACTGAACCCTTTTTCAATAATTTCTAGAGACATAAATGACTGCACGATTCGACAGGGTCGAGTTTCTACCTCTCTGTTGAATGTAGAAAATAAAAATAACCCTACCAACCATGTCGACATGGAAAACGACATGAATGTCGACACTCGACATCGGTCACTTTTCGTCACTGCATTTGAGTCGTCAACGACATCGACTAATGACATAAATGTCGACATGTCGTTGACGACACGACTGTCGACATCGACATCGGTCACTTTTCGTCACGACATCTTTGTCGCTGACGACATCGACAAACGGTATGAATTTCGACATAACGTTGACAACACTACTGTCGACGTCGACGGTCGACGGTTAAGTCGACGTATTAACGGCATCGACCATTGTCGTCAAAAGCCGACAGTCATGTCGCCATGTTGACGGTATAGAAAATCGTGTCGTTTGTCGATTGGAATGTTGACGTGTAGTTGATGGCATCAACTTGATGCCATGACTCAAGGACCATAATACGTCGAGTCTAGACATTCATTGTTATCTTAATGAACCTGCAAAACAAACAAAACCAATTTACAATAGAAAATATATATATTTATAAGATGAGACATAGTTTTCTGGAAATGAGAACAATTGTTATTTTATTACGAGTTTTAAATCAATTTTTCGAAACTTGACTCGGCGTTTCTTCATCCTTTCTTTCTTTACAGATTTTTTTGTTTTTACTCGCAGAGTCGCTGTTTTCAATCTCACTCTCACTGCCCTCATTTTATGTACTACAATCATTGTCTGTACCCGACGCACTCTGACTTGTTTCATTGTCACTTTCGCTTCCGTTGTTTTTTTCGCTGTCTTCTTCTTCGTCTTCGCTGATTTGTTCCACTGCATCTTTGTTACTCCCGTCGGCGCTTTCTGTGACTTCTTGAATCTCTTGCATCTTTTCTTGTATCTCAAGCTTGTTCTCTTTCTTCTCTCGAGCACCTTGTCCATTTTTGTGTTTTTTTCTCTTCCTTTATTATTTTCTTGTAGTCTTTTTTAGCTTCTTTGTAGACAGTATTTTTTCTCCTCTTCGTCGAATCCTTCAACATCCTCAATTTTGCTCCGACAAATTGTTCCACATCTTTGCTCATTGGGAACCGTTTAGCGACTGCATCTGAAACAGAAATCGTGAAAAATAAGATCATGAACTTTCTTTCCTTCACTGGAAAACCTTGCTTTAGATTTATTTATTGTCCTATATTGTTGACGTAATGACTTCAAGAAACATGTTTTTCAAAGTTTGAAAAAATCCAATCATAGCTTTTTTCTGACTTTCCGAAACGAAAAAAATTTTTTACATAGTTCTGGCGATAAGAAAATTAATTTGAATATAACTTTAAAATCTTCGTTGTAAGATTTTTGATTCCTAATCAAGTAAATTGTTATTGCGACAGTCGACGTGAGTGACGACATGTCGACGTGAATGACGACATGTTGTCGCCGCGTCACAAAATGTAGAATGCTTAAATTGTAATAGATAAAGACCCTATGGCGAACGATTTACATGCAGCATTAATTTTAATAAATACAAAGGATAGGTTATGAAAAAATACGATTGCATCTTGGATAGAGAGGTATTTGAGGTTATCTAAATTTTTGTACTTACAAAGAAATCACTGGAACGGCTTACGCGAACGATTTATTTCACTGTATTGACTGGATTTATAGCGAGATTCAGCTGGATTTCGCAGCAACAATGGCACTGAATTTCACACAGCTCAGATATGCAAGCTCATGGCCAACATGGCGAAACAGCTGACTGCAGTTGACACACTCACACACAACGTAAACTATATGCGCATGCGCACGTACTCAGTCTGTGCGGACGGCGTGCTAGACGCCAGCTGTCGACACGACAGTAGACATGTCGACATGACGACATTATTATCGTCATTACGTGTTTTCAAATATATATTTTCATATTACACAAACGTTAATTAAACATAGTGTCTATATATAGATTAATCTATCAATTGATGCAGTTCATAATGTGTCGTCACGACAGTCGACGTGAATGACGATGTGTCGACATGTAGTCGTTGCGTGTCGTCGAAGTGACTGTACAAACTATGAGCTTCTAGAGGGTTCAAAATTTTGATATCCACTAAATTTGATGAATTAATGTGAGTGCAACGTTTTTCTAGTGTATAGGTATCTTATATTGATTCGACAATTATATCGTCGACTCTATTGTCGATACTTTTGTCGACCACGCTATGTAAAGTCGACAGCAGACGTAGATGTTGACGAGTCGACATGACGACATCATTATCGGCACACAATTTTTTTGTTATTTGTGTATTAAGATGCTTAGTATTCAATTATTCGATATATTCTATCGTTATATCTCAGATAAAGCTGTAAAAAGACACGCTTTCAGTGAAAATACTAGATGGGATGTCGTAACTACTGACGACATACATGTCGACTTTGAAATGGTCGTTGGAACTGTGGTAGTCACGACAGTCGACGTAAGTGACGACATGTCGACATGTCGTAGTCGCGTGTCGCCAAGGTCAGAATGTGAAATTATCGGCTAGTTCATGATAAAAAAAATTTAAAATTGTTAATTTACTGCACATTAGAGTATGCTTGATGTTTTCTGAAGTAGTTTTTTTTTAAATTTAATCCATTTAGGTGTCGACACGTTTGTCGACATATTTGTCGATGTCGACATGGTTGGTAGGGAATGTATCTTGTAAGACACCATTGAGTTTGACTTTAAATATAGTCGGGCATAGGTATAGAGCCGAAAAATATAAAAACAAAGCACGATTCAATACAGTTCTGATAAAACTTTAAGATTTAGTATTCAAACGCGGTGTCATCCTATACAGTTCTATATTTTTCCGTTTGCTGTGTACCACATACAAACCTAATGTTAATTTGAACGTAAGAGCGGCATGATGGGACTCTAAAACGGTCACATCGTTATACAGGATGGCCAGAACGCTGTCGGAATTCGACAAGAAGGCGCTGCTCCGCCCAGGATGATCAACATCGTGGGTAGCAGCGGCTATAAGACTCGTAGCTTCATCTATGGGGTCCATAATGGACTTCATACGTTCCTTCTCCAAAAAACCCGCAGTCGCCTTGAAAAATGCGGTTGTACCAACTTAAAATTATCACGTACGTTTCGTTTTTACCTGCATTACGTCGGCCGCATGGGTCGAGTTGTGGTACGAGTTGTCGGAATGATAGTTGGCTTCCATGACTGTCAGCCAGTTAAAGAGGGTTTTTTCGTCGCACAGTAACGTGTTTGGAACGTCAAAATGCAAAAATAAGCTCATACCGAGATGTTGTAACGGGCGTTTTTTCGAAAGCTCCTCCAAACGGAAGATATCGAACTCCCACGAGAGGCAAGTGTCGAGGAGATCTCGAATGATTGAGGGAGCCTATCAACGAACCAAAAGTGTGTTTGTACCTAGAAGTGTTAATGTTGGAATGCCTTACTCTGAAGAAGGTTGATTTAGTTGGTCTGTAAACCGCCGAATCGTTGCTACTTCTTCGAGACGACGAGGATTGTGAAGGTTGTGGTGCTTTCTAAAATCGAAATATAATTATGATATTATTATATTATAACTACACTAATATTACCGATAACAAAGCAGTTATGAGATCGGAAACCACTGGTTCATCCGTCCTCATCTTCAAATCATCCTTGGCATGCGAAGTGTACAACTCTGAAGTTCTCAAGGTCTCTTCAATTTTCTCCAGCAGCTGCACAACTTGAGCATTACCCGGAGAGAAGTCTTTAGCTTGGTCCAGCAGCGTCAAAATCTAACGAAACACGTTTTTACAAATGCCATTGCGTTCGATGAAGTTCCATACCTTTGTAATGGGCGCTTCAAGGGGCAGTGCGTTCAACTTGGCCAGCGAACTTCGCCGCAAGTAATCGCTGCCCACGCTGCGAACTTCAGCCGATCCTCTGCGTAGGGAACTTACGCTACCTCTAGGTTGACTCAGCGCGTTGGTGTCGAGGAAATTCGTGTCGAATACCAGCACGAAATGGGTGGGCATCCTGCACAATTAAAAAAAATATTTGGACGAAAAATATTTTTCAAATCTTTACCTTCCACCGCTAGCGAAAGGTACAGCCTTGCACGACGTAACGATGGTGTCTTGAGTTTTCTTTTTCAACGTAAGCGATCCAGACCATTCCCTGGCCCGTAGCAAAGACGATCCCATTGTGTTTATCTGCACCGTATCGCTGACTAATTGTTCTTGCAAAGTTTTCCCCAAAGTGTCTTCTTGACGAAATCCCAAAAGTTTTTCACAAGCTCTATTCATATACTTGAAAGAGTAAAAGGGATTTAGGTTTTGTTGTTAGATAATGTAGGATTAATCAAAGAATTTAATCTCTATTTTGTTGCTCAGTTTAGTGAGAGCATTGTAAACTCACAGGCAAAATAATCGATCCACACAAATTTTCGATGAATTTCAATCGCAAATAACTTTTTTATTTGATCAAATATTAAAGAATATTGTAGATACATTAATGGAGAATCGCTCACATTTTAAAAATTACTTAAAAATATACGTAAGTTTATAATATACAGGTTTAAACAAAAAGATGTTTTTTACCATAAGTTTAAGACACTCTGTAGAGTGGCAAAAACCGTATATTGTTCTAAATTAAGTTTTAATTATCAAGTCACATCTATTTTTAACAGTTTTGTTTTTGGTTCACCTTGATATATTTATTTTTGTGGAAAATATGGATTTTTTTTAAAGACATTGCAATTTCCAATATTTTTCCTGTATGAAGACTTAAGGTTGCTATGGTCCATCCATAGGCTATGGAGGATGACAGTGACAGTTTTGTTGATTCATCCCATACTTTGACATGTCATACACGGCTTTCAAAAGCTATAAAATTGTTTTTTGTAAATTAATGTGTTAATTTTGAGGTGTCTTCATACTTTTAAAAATATCTTCGACTGATGTTGCCCTTTGTACTTTACTTCTTGTGACGTTTAAAACACTTGCCACGTAATCCTGTGACCGTCCATCCTGGATTAAATTAATGGCTCTGGCAACATTATCGGAGACATCCATTTTTTAAAGTAAGAAGACACCTCAAAATTGAAGCATTAATTTGCAAAAAACAATTTTATAGCTTTTGAAAGCCGTGTATGACATGTCAAAGTATGGGATGATTCAACAAAACCGTCAATGTCATCCTCCATAGCCTATGGATGGACCATAGCAACCTTAGTTCTACATACAGAAAAATATTGGAAATTGCAATGTTTTTAAAAAAATCCTTATTTTCCACAAAAATAAATATATCGAGGTGAACCAAAAACAAAACTGTTAAGAATAGATGTGACTTGATAAATAAAACTTAATTTAGAACAATGTACGGTTTTGCCACTCTACAGAGTGTCTCAAACTTATGGTAAAAAACATATTTTTAATTAAACCTGTGTATTATAAACGTACGTCTATTTTTTAGTAATTTTTTAAATTGTGAGCGATTGTCCATTAATTTATCTACAATATTCTTTAATATTCGTTTAAATCCGACATCAAATAAAAAAGTTATTTGCGATTGAAATTCATCGAAAATTTGTGTGGATCGATTATTTTGCCTGTGAGTGTATATAGCTACCTGAAACTTGTAATTTTCATCGGTGACGACCACAAGGTCCTTGCATTTGTCCAAAGCTGCATAAAGAGCCTGACACGTGGCATGTTGACTGTGTGGCCTGATATCTCCATGTTTCAACATTGTTAACTCATTAACGCAGTTGGTGAGGTTAGAAGATTCTGCAATGCACTGGTGAAAAAAATTTCTATATTGACTTGGATTAAAAAAAATATATTTTCACAAACAAACAAAAATATATTACCCTATTAAATCCGGATTCTAAATGACCCTGTATAACTTTTTCGTCTTTTTCGAACACCCTATAGATAAATTATTCTTAATTATCAATGTTAAGAAAATAAAATTCACTTACTGTTTTTTTACGACCCCAACAATGACGGTGTGCTGACTGCCTTTTGTGTTTCTGATAGATCTGCAATTAAGAATTAAGTTGTGGTTATAGTGTTCAATAAATAATTTGTGTATGCTAAGTAGGCGAGACGAACACATTCATTTGTTAGATTATAATGCTGTTTTTGCTTTCGTGGAGTTGTTCCAAGCCCTTGTTAAAACTAACAGAAACCTGATTAAAACTTTCCTTTGTTAGGATTAATAGGATTTTTTGCTATCGCTGAAATCAACCAAGGATGACTATTTGTCGAATAGTTATGTAAATGTCTTCTGAATTATATTGTAACGTTTGTACTGTTCGCAGTGTGAATTAAAACACGCACTGGTTTATTAACGAACTAAACACTTTACTACTAATTATTTATATATCACTACTGTACAAAAGTAATTTATATCGTCGCGAGTACCAAAGCTTGACTAACTGCTCGGTGCAAGCGCCTTCCCGAATATTCCAGCGAGCTCCGGACCAGTTTTAATTTATATGCTATCAAAGAAAAATAAAATTAAAACGAATTTTTCCATACTTTTATCTCCCACTGTACAATTAAAGATGTTGTTTTAAAGGCATCGTTTTCTGAACGTCAGAAAATAATAAATTATGTTTGTAAGTACAGTGAAGTATAAAGCTAAACTTCCCTAAATTTCATTAAAATAATTTTAATTAAAACAATGCTATTGATTTCTCTTCCAATGCTCTATTATTAGAGCTGTTAGATTAAACTCCCATTGAAATTTTATAGGTTAATCTAAAATGTATTTCATCACAAAAAATAAAAAGTCCTATAAATTTATATTTAGGGTTTTTGTGCTAAAACGCTAAAGAATTTATTTTCTTTTACGAAATTAAATTAAGTTAACTTACGTGAAACTTTCCTTATATTTTAAAAGAAAAGAAACTAAAAGTAAGTACCTATATAAATCTAAATTAAAGTCCGTGTGGTAATATTAGGGAAAATACAGTGCCGTATCAAAAATGTAAGAATGTAAAATGGCCAGTGTCCAATTACTGGTTGGTAAAAAATGCAAATTTCTATTATTGGACATATGTCCAACATCATACTCTATTTGTATCCCGGACATTTACCAACCAATTCTTATGTAAAATTTTCACCTGAATCCGAAAAGACAGTCAAAAACTATAAAAGTTAAGCAGTTTTTGAGATATAGTCAATTCCATATTATATGTAAAATTAATTATATTTCAAAAACTGTTCTACTTTTATAACTTTTGGCGACATTTTCGGATTCAGCGAATAATATTTTATAGGAATTGACTGCTAACTGTCCTGGATACAAATTGCTGTTGACGAGAATTATTAGTGGCTGCTTTTTCGCTATGATATATTTGACTAATTCATTTGTAGAGAGGAAGTAATAAAGTGATTTTATCGTCACAGGACATCTTGCAGAATAACAGGGATTTAAATACAGTGCTGGATAGAGAACATAACAAAGTAATAGCAACAAAATTAATAAATTCGGAAAATACTTTTAACATACCACCCGAAAAAATATTAGATATATATAAATCATCCTGTTCCAGCCTAAACATTATGCTTGACAAACTAGAGATACCACACTTAGATATGTGCAACAAACTATTTCAGAAGTCATATCAAGGAATTAGTTACCTTCAGAATCCAGAAAAGGGATGAGGAATCCGAAAAAGAAATATATGAATTATATGATATTTATAAAAACGAAATAAAAAATATTTAACAATTTATGTTATTTTATGTAAAGTTGTTATGTTTAGATACAAATTGTATGTCCAATAACTATGGTCCACGTGTCCAATTACTATATAAAATGTCCAATGGCTTTTAAAAAAAATGGTGAATACAGAGGGGTGAAACTTTTAAAGCGTAGCACTGTGCTGCTCATGTTGGAATTTCGCAGGACACGGGTTCCTGATCAATACAGCAGCAACAAGTGAGCATAAAAAACACTGCTTCCCCTACTAAAGCCCTTTCTTAATGGCGAGCGAACATAATACCTACCTATAAATTCAAAGAAAACGCTACCTTTCAAAGGTATTTTCGTGCTTAACTTTTATAAGTTTATAAGTTTGTGAACAACTACCACAAAATTATAAACCACTGGAAATGGAAGTTTAAAAGTTATGAACAGCGTTAACTTTATAGTTAATCAATCTAGAAAAATTGCAATTCTCAGTTTACTTAAAAATAAGAATATTTGAATTTTTAATAATAGTTTTATAAAAACATGCAAAAAAGTATAGTAATTGGACATTTTATATAGTTATTGAACATACAATTTTTATATAAACATAACAACATCAAATAACATAAATTGTTAAATATTTTTTAAAGATAAATTGCTGTTTTAGGTAATTTTTTTATTTCGTTTATTAGCATTAAGTGTGGTATCTCTAGTTTGTGAAGCATTTATAATGTTTAGGCTGGAACAGGATGATTTATATATATATATATATATATAATATTTTTTCGGGTGGTATGTTAAAAGTATTTTCCGAATTTATTAATTTTGTTGCCATTAGTTTTTTATGTTTTCTATCATGCACTGTTATTTTGCAAGATGTCCTGTGACGAAGAAATCACTTTCTAAAAATGAATAAGTCAAAAATGTCATAGCGAAAAAGCAGCCACTAATAATTCTCGTCAACAGCAATTTGTATCCAGGACATTTAGCAGTCAATTCCTATGAAATATTATTCGCTGAATCCGAAAATGTCGTCAAAAGTTATAAAAGTAGAACAGTTTTTGAAATATAATCAATTTTACATATAATATGGAATTGACTATATCTCGAAAACTGCTTAACTTTTATAGTTTTTGACGGTCTTTTCGGATTCAGGGGACAATTTTACACAAGAATTGGCTGGTAAATGTCCGGGATACAAATAGAGTATGATATTGGACATATGTCAAATAATAGAAATTTGCATTTTTTACCAACCAGTAATTGGACACTGGCCATTTTACTGTTTGTTTTCAGAATTAAAATTAAAACGCATTAAAGTGACAATGTTTAAACCATGGGGAACACATTTATACCACACACTGATCTGTACACTTTTTAGAAATATTTTTTATTGTAATTTAGACACAGCTGGTATTAATTATTAATTTATTTATTATTAACTAATGCTTAGTATTTAAGTAAGCTAAAATTTTATGCAATTTAAATTTATCACTTCAAGCATAGAATTATTTTTTTTCGTATATATCTCGCGTCGAGTGGAATAATTTTCCCTGACAAGTATTTCACTAGCAATTACCTTAATGCGATAGGGAAAAGGCTGAAGCTTTTTAAATTAAAACCTACATCCAACAAGTACATTAATCTTTGACAATTTCGTCCGGAATCTCGTTTATAAAAGCACCTCTGCCCGCCTGTAACAGGTCAAGAAAATAAGACGGAAACTTTCTATTTTTTACAAATCCTAACGATAAAGTTACACAAGTGGAAGAGGAAGAAATTAGGCTTTTTACACAGTAAAAAATTTCTGGTAAAAAACAACACCAAAAGTGGTCTATATAGGTCCACACTAGAAATGGTATATGTAACCATATACAATTTGGTAAATTTTACCCTTTTTAATTGGTTAAAAATCTACACGTACTATTCGTACAAAAAACTCGTAACAGTGTAAAAATCATCAAATATAATACACTCTTAGGGGTAAAAGCAACACGCAATATTGCTAAAAGAACTCCATTCAAGAGTAGAAACTGCTCAATTTGGTGTAATTTACTACACATTTTGGTGTTACTTGTAGGTGTTAAAAATGGTGGGTGTTTTAGTATTAAACACAGCATGTAATGTAAAATAAAGTATATTTTATATTACTTACAAACTATTAGATATGAATACAAATAGGCTTTGGCATAAAATTAAAAAAAAAAAATGATTAACACTACTTAGGTGTATTCTTATACCCAAGAAGTGTTAATAATTTTTTTTATTTGAATGAAAAGTAGTACTTAATATTTTAAGTTTTTTCCAGTTTGTGCAAAACCATATTTAGCTTATATAGGTATATAAGTTAAATATGATTTTTCACTAGCTCAAAAAACTTAAAATTTTACTAAATTTCATATTTCACTTATCACAGGTAAAAAACATGTTATATCACAAACATAAGTTGCATCCACTGTCACATTGCACCACTTTACCCGACCACTGAATTTTAATTTAAAAACCATGGTCTTAAAATAGGTACACTACCATCAACTGCACTCGGAATACTGATCTCTTCCTTGCCGTTAACGAATGGTGATGACTACGTGACTTTTTTTACCACAATGTGTGTAGCTGTCAACAAATAATAGTGTCAAATGTACACTGCGTCGAGTTTATCTTTAAATTAACACTAGATTGACACGGTGCTGTGTAAAATAAATTTAAATTAACACGAATGAATTTTACCACAATTTAAAATAAACACTTAATATTTTTGACCAATTTTAGTGTATAAATTAACACCAAATGATTTTACCACTCCATTTGGTAACTTTACACCGAAATATTTTTTACTGTGTATACTAAATTGACAACCTTTTTGTAGACCAATTATTTGTTGAAAATAGGGAACTAAAATGACAAGAATTTTGATAAGTAATGTTGCTTTATTAATCAATCAACTACGAGGTGTGTTCAGAAAATAACGGGAATTGTTAAATTTCGCGGGTTCGGAGGGTTCGGTTGTCATAAAATTTTCTTTATTATGTTGGTATACATGCCCCCGAAGTATGATAAAATCTTTAGCTGTTTTCATTGTTTACTTTGCCGCTAAGGTTAGACGTGTTTTATGAGCTCGGCGATTTTCGTTCGTTAAAAGAAATGGATCAAAGAATTTCTATCCAATTTTGCTTAAAAAATGAAATAAATACTGTGAAATGTTAGCAAAGGCGTATAGTGAGTCTGCTATAAGTAAAACAAGAGTTTACAAGTGGTATACGAGTTTCCAAGATGGCCGTGAAGACGTTGAAGATGACGAACGCCCCGAACGCACAAGCACATTAACAACCGATAAAAACATGGAAAAAGTGGAAGAAATGGTTATAAACCATCAGAGAAGTCGCTGATGATGTTGGTATATCGATTGGCTAATCCCATGAAATTTTTTCGAATGTTTTGGGTATGAAACGCGTGGCAGCAAAATTTGTTCTAAAATTGTTAAATTTTGAACAAACTTTTTGGCCAAAAACAATACTGTAATGATGCCCCAGCCTCCATATTCGCCAGACATGCCTCTGTCTGACTTTTTCCTATTCCCAAAAATAAAGAGAACCTTAAAAGGCAAGCATAGATGACATTAAAAGCGCATCGCTGAAAGAACTAAAGGCTATCCTAAAGATCGAGTTTTAGAAGTGTTTCGAGTATTGGAAGAAGAGCTGGCACATGTGCATAATTTCCAATGGGGACTATTTTGAAGGCGACAACATTAATGTAGACGAATAAATAAATATTTGTTTCAAAAAACGAAAATTCCCGATATTTTCGGAACACACCTCGTATTAACAAATCTGATGCAAGAGGTTCTTGACACCCAAAGGCCTACGATACTAACCCTCTATACCTTAAGGGTTTACTTTAAATACGATTGAATCATTATAGTCCTTAGTTCCTCCAACGTTTTACTAATAAAATTAAGGGGGTCTTATTGGGTTTAGGCAAATTTCTCAGCTTAGAGAAACCATATCCCTTTACCCATTTGACACAAAAAATATTCTAATCAGTGACGGCTCGTCAGGGTCAAAATAAAGGAACGAAGGTCCTTTTGTACTTAGCTTATCACCTATAACAAGAAACTGTTTAAAAAAGTGACTGGCCCGTTACACTTAGTGTAACGGGCCAGTCACTTTTTCAAACAGTTTCTGAAGTATCTGTGTTTTCTAAATTTGAATGCAAGGGAAGTGACGAGTATACATACCAGGGTACTAATTAAATACATAATTTATTGGAAAATATAAGATTTATTGCAACTTTTAGCATATTATTTATTGCAACTTTTAGCATATTATAATATGTATATATACATTAAATATCTTAAAATAAAATAATACCACACATCAGTGGCGGCTGGTGGATTTTGGGTATACCGATATCTCAATTATTAGATATGGGACCCACACCAAATTTATATGAGTTTATAAAGACATTGAATAAACAAGTTCTGCGCAAGCAGAATTTAAATTGAAGTTTGCGAAAAAAAGATAACCGAAACATCGAACATGGAACTGACGACACAGTACTGATGAATGGGATACAAATTTGAGATTATAATTCGGAATTAAGTATTTTACTGATATTTTTTATTAGTGGATGCTACTTATCAACAAATCACATATTGCCTTATATAAATTACAATGAAATATATATACGTAAGAAAATAACTACTCACCACAGTACTGGAATTTTGACTGGAACTATACGTGCATTCACCACAACTTCGCCGCTTGCATTGTTTTCAAGACGACTGTCGTGCAAAGGGCGGGCTCTGTAGGTATTTTTACCAACACTTGAGTTAAAACGAGGACTTGACGTTTAAACTTCAATATTTCGCAGGAATTTTAAATTTTAACATTGGACACAGAAGTGACGGGTGAAAGTGAGTACAAAGATTATCATTTTTTTTTAAATTGCTATTATTCGAATCTATGATAAAATGTGAAAAATACATTATTTATGTTTTATAGTTTGTAGTGAAATTGAAAAATTTAAGATAAATTGAATAAATTTTAAAATAAAATCACTCAAATATTTGATTCAGGAATTGTGACACGCCAAGGTTCTGATGTTTTGAATATTTATTGTTTTTCTACAAACGTGCTTTTGAAAAAATACATTAAAATTGGGTGGACAAGTTAAAAAAACCTGGATCTTTTGTAATATACTAAAATATTTATAAAAAATATTAAAATATTGACTGATGATCAAGTTGTCCAACTTTTGTAGAATCACCCATATATATGTATATATTCAATGATTCTTATAATTTTAGTTACCAAAATTATATAACATTTTTTGTAGAAAGCTTCATAAAATATCAAAAAAGAGCCAAACATATACCAAGTAAAGTAATCTTCTTTATTAAGACGTAAGCTGTTTTTCTGTAACATTAGCTCGTTTAGTGACCTAAGCTCTTAAAACTACCGATTATACCGAAATGAAATTGCGGAAAATGGCCGATAATCTCTAGGACATAAACATTATTTTTATGGCAAAAGATGTCATCAAATATATGGATTTCATGTTTCATTAAAAGGAAACATAACTTTCATATAAAAACATATTTTAAATAATGCCTTAAAAAAGAAAAAAGAAAATTACTAACATATTAAAAAAATTTATATAAAAATGCTTAATCATTTTGAAAATATATTTTTTTGATTGTTAATAATCCTTTAAGGTTTTATTTACAAAAGGATTTGTAAATTCGTCTACATTAATGTTGTCGCCTTCAAAATAGTCCCCATTGGATATTATGCACATGTGCCAGCTCTTCTTCCATTACTCGAAACACTTCTAAAACTCGATCTTTGGGATAGCCTTTAGTTCTTTCAGCGATGCGCTTTTAATGTCATCTATGCTTGCAAAACGACGGCCCTTTAAGGTTCTCTTTATTTTTGCGAATAGGAAACAGTCAGACAGAGGCATGTCTGGCGAATATGGAGGCTGGGGCATCATTACAGTATTGTTTTTGGCCAAAAATTTTGTTCAAAATTTAACAATTTTAGAACAAATTTTGCTGCCACGCGTTTCATACCCAAAACATTCGAAACAATTTCATGGGATGAGCCAATCGACATACCAACATCATCAGCGACTTCTCTGATGGCTTATAACCATTTCTTCCACTTTTTTCATGTTTTTATCGGTTGTTAATGTGCTTGTGCGTTCGGGGCGTTCGTCATCTTCAACGCCTTCACGGCCATCTTGGAAACTCTCATACCACTTGTAAACTCTTGTTTTACTTATAGCAGACTCACTATAGGCCTTTGTTAACATTTCACAGAATTTATTTCATTTTTTAAGCAAAATTGGATACAAATTCTTTGATCCATTTCTTTTAACGAACGAAAAATCGCCGAGCTCATAAAACACGTCTAACCTTAGCGGCTGCCACAGACAAAGTAAACAATGAAAACAGCTAAAGTTTTTATCATACTTCGGGGGCATGTATACCAACATAATAAAAAAAAATGTATGACAACCGGACCCTCCGAACGCGCGAAATTTAACAATTCCCGTTATTTTCTGAACACACCTCGTATAGTTGCTAAAAACACTTAAAGCAATTGATTTCGCTTAGTAAAGTTCCAAATGGCGTTAAACTCAACTTTTTATAAAATATTAAAGTTGAGGGACTTCTGCAGAAGTCGCGCAACACCTTGAAGGTGTACGATCCACATGTATGGGTATACCCCCAGGATCCAGTTTGTTTCAACTTACCGACATAACGTTCCAAAATCAATTCCTTTGACGCTTCTGGTGTCAATGATGACGAGATCGTGCGCTTTCGACTGAAATTGTTCCAAAGCTTCATTATCTGTACAAATGAGTGTGGCATCAAAGCAGAGTTTCTCAGCAGCTAGAGTAAATACCTCACCAACTGCATCGGAGTATGGAAAAACAAGAAGTACCTAAAATGAATCGTTAAAAAAAATCATTAAAATTAATTAAAAAGCAAAGTAGAAATTTTGGGCCGACACTGGTTATTCCTGACCCTGACAACTTACGCGAAATATATAATATATGTATATAATAATAGTTTTATAAAAACATGCAAAAAAGTATAGTAATTGGACATTTTATATAGTAATTGGACACATGGACCATAGTTATTGGACATACAATTTTTATGTAAACATAACAACTACATCAAATAAAATAAATTGTTAAATATTTTTAAATTGCTGTTTTAGGTAATTTTTTTATTTCGTTTTTGTAAATATCATATAATTAATATATTTCTTTCTCGGATTCCTCATCCCTTTTCTGTATTCTGAAGGTAACTACTAATTCCTTGGTCTGACTTCTGAAATAGTTTGTTGCAAATATCATTAAGTGTGGTATCTCTAGTTTGTGAAGCATTTATATGTTTAGGCCGGAACAGGATGATTTATATATATCTAATATTTTTTCGGGTGGTATGTTAAAAGTATTTTCCGAATTTATTAATTTTGCTGCCATTAGTTTTTTATGTTTTCTATCATGTACTGTTATTCTGCAAGATGTCCTGTGACGAAGAAATCACTCTCTAAAAATGAATTAGTCAAAAATGTCATAGCGAAAAAGCAGCCACTAATAATTCTCGTCAACAGCAATTTGTATCGAGGACATTCAGCAGTCAATTCCTACGAAATATTAATCGCTGAATCCGAAAATTTCGTCAAAAGTTATAAAAGTGGAACAGATTTTGAAATATAATCAATTTTACATATAACATGGAATTGACTATATCTCAAAAACTGCTTAACTTTTATAGTTTTTGACGGTCTTTTCGGATTCAGGGGACAATTTTACATAAGAATTGGCTGGTAAATGTCCGGGATACAAAGTATGATATTGGACAAACGTCCAATAATAGAAATTTACATTTTTTACCAACCAGTAATTGGACACTGGCCATTTTACTGTTTGTTTTCAGAATTAAAATTAAAATGCATTAAAGTGACAATGTTTAAACTGATCTGTACACTTTTTAGAAATATTTTTTATTGTAATTTAAAACAGCCCTGCTCTTAAAAAGAAACAAAAATCTTACCACCAAAGTAACGTGCGAACTTTTTTGTCCTATATTGGACCCAAAATAAAGTAGTTCTATATTATTACCGACTGAGATAGTTATAATTGTATATAGCGTCATCTAATGATTTGACTTTAAGCTACCTATTTATAGAACTCTTGTTTTTACAGTATTAATGTCCAATAACTATAAACTGTCTACTTACTTTTATTGGACTTTTGCTGGGAGGCAATATGTTTCCGTATCTTCCTTCCAATGGACTTCTCTGTAAAAAAAGAAACAAAAATATATTTTTGTAAAAATGATTTTGATGAATACAAAAATTTGGTGAAGTAAATTTAAAACAACATAGACTTCTTTCCTGAAATTTGGTGGCTGGGATCTTGACGGTAATCTTTTTTTTCTTCCTAACCCTCTCGTTAATTAAATTATCCTGATTTCCATCGCTAGATTGCAACGCAGGATCCTGATTTTCCGTATTTTGCATCGGGTCGTATTTAAGCGAAATAACAGTCGTTATCCTGTTTGCTATGTGAGATTCGCTTTGGGTGGTATCGCTAATTTTCAAATTTTCTTTCAGTTGGTGTTTCTTTTTCGAAAAACAATTCAGAAGATCCACAGGACACATTTAATTTTGGGAAGGATATCGTTTGGAGTGTGAACCGTCAAAAAATAGTAAAAGTAAGGTTAGGATATTTTGACAAGACCCAATGAAACATGAAGCTTACACAATGTATACAACTCGCTGTTAAATTAACGATAAAGTAATATTTTTGCAGTTTTTATTGTTACTTGCATATACAGTCCCCTGGCAATCAATTTAAGTTAAAGTTAACTAACATAACGTTAATTTTGCCATAATTGAATTACAAAAAAATATGATTAGTACGTCATTCTAAATCGTATCAGTTAAATTAAAATCCTTAACTTTATCAATAAATAGTTATTGATAACTTTACCTTGAGAATTGACTCTAAGGCTCCCTTTTTGCTGTTGGAACTATATTTTAAATGTTCATCCAATTCAAAATGTATTGTTTTTCTTCTTTCGTATTTTCCATTGGGAATTGAAATAATGGCATCTGCAAGAACTGATTCTTCATTTTTACCGCAGAAACCACGAATACAGAACCATCTGCCAAAATCCCTTTCTTCACTTTCTATCGATTGTTCTTCTTGCTCTTCTAATATGCTACCACAGTGTTTACAAATTGTGGACATTATTTTATTTTTTCTTGTTTCGCATTATATGGTTTAGCACTTTGCGATTAGTGTTGATACTAAATACTTTATTAATCCCGTAATTAAAATTGTTATCAAAACGATAAGATAATCCCTAACTTTTGATAAACGACTTGTAATAATAGATTATTTTTGTGTATAATTTATCGATTAAAATCTGTAATCTGTAGGTTGATTCACAAAATTTGGATTTGATATCCATTATTCATTTTTAAATAAATTATACGAGTCATTTAATTTGGATTTTTTAAAAAAGTAAGTGGTTTTCAAAATACAGAATTTATTCCAGTTAAGATTTCCACCCTGTATATATAGCATAGTAAAGTTGAATTGGCTTTAAAACAAATATATGTTTTATAAGACAAACAAAGGGCTCGTAATATATTTATCTTTCATCCCTCTGAACATATTTTTAATCAATCTTCAGCCTGTTGCTCTATCCTTTGTTATATCCTGTTTTAAAAGCATAATAAAATATTTAATTTTTATTAATATTTCAAATATGATATATAAATACATAAAAGTTGACAATAAAATAAACGATTGCCTTTTATTATAAAAGCTTAATAAAGAATAGAAGTCGCTCTATACAAATATTTAATTAAAATCTATTTTAGATAAAATAAGTATTTTTTTTTTAAAATGTGCCTTTTTTCTCAGAAAATTCCTTAAACACTTTGTGCTGTAAATTCCGCACATTTTGTTGTAAAATTTTAGTTATTTAGTAAAATTAGTTATTTACGTATTTCTTACATTTAAAGGGCGCTTCAACAAATAATTCAGTTAAGTGCCACTTAAATTGAAAATATAAAATTTAATGTTTACATTAACCAAACATATATATTTTAAGTGATACTTAACGTTAAGTAGCGGGTTTTTGGATTAAATTTATGTAATACACAGTAAAAAATTTTGCCCGTGTAATTTTTTTAGTGTAGGAGTTGATTTGTAAGTGTAAAAGTTACACTACAAAATACACTAGGTAGCATTTAGTGCTTATTAACTTTAATAAACACATTTAAAGAATATGAACATTATTCATTGGTACATTCACACTATTTATTATTAAATTAAATCAAAAGGGTAGAAAAACTTAATGCGAGTGTTTATTACCCCTTAATGTGTTAAATAGTGACAAATTGTACACTACAGTGCATGCCAATTTCTTTGTCTGTTTTGATGTTACTAAGAGCTCTTTTTTCTTTACACTACTAGTGCACATTGTATCACAATTAAAGTTAAATTACACCAATAGTGGCAAAATAAACTGAAAAAACTGGTAATAACCGAAATGTGTTTTAAAATGTTTGGTTGGTACCTATCTACCTACGCAGTGCATATCCGGAGATACCGCGTTGTGGAAGTGTGGCATTTTTGTTCAGTTAGATTTTAATTACGGTGAATCCATAAGGAGACATTCTTATTTTTTGGTAAGTATTATACTTCCTTTTTCTTTAAGCCTTAACCTACTCAATAAATACCAATATGTTAAAAGGATGTCCATACCCGACCTATATTATATATCAATAATTTACGGCAGTAGGTCGGGTACTTATAAATATAATAATATAAATACATACACACTTGATTTACTTTTTATTTTCAAGCGTAATGGTTGTTATATTAACCTATACCTACATTTTTATTAATATTAGGGAAAATTTGTACACGTGTGGTAAATCCCCGACATACAGCCGCCTGACGCCTCTCTACCAATGGGATCACCCATTTTTTATTACAGAATAATGAATTCTCAAGATAATTTATTGCTTACAAGTTGACAGCCAGTAAAACATTGCATTGGTCTAAAACTTTTACGTTTTAAGGAACCATTTTGCTTAAGCCAGCCATACGACTCAAATATAAAATTATATTTTAAAAGGCACCGATTTTGATAATTGTCAAAGATTTTTGTTCCAAATAAATGTTTCTTTTATTTACCTTTTCGTTTTATTCACTACCACCAATAGGTTTTACTCAAATAATAGTGTTAATTTACACTAGAAGTTTGCACTAAAAGACTAAAAGTACCTTTCTAAAATTAGAACTTTTCCAAAGTAGTGTTAAGTTGCACTAAACAAAAGTGGGATTTTACTCAGGAAGTGTAGAAGTACACGATTTTAGGTAAATTAACACTTTTTAATACAGTGTAAAATTAGTTTATCCTCAGTGCTATAGTGTTAAATCATACTTGCTTACTTGGGGAAAATTACACTACAAATTAACTCTAATTGTAGTGTTATAAAACAACACTATTTAGTGTGGACCTGGGTGAACTCTAATTAGTGTTGCTTAGAGTTGATTTTTTTTTACTGTGTAACAGGAAATTCTGGAATTAAAAAATGTTGCTTAATCCTTGTAGAAATCGTGCTGACATGAACAATTTGTCCTTTTAATAAACATTCGATAAAACTGGAACTTTTTATGTTTGCTTAATATAATAAAAAAAGCATTATTCCCGTATATATGCAGATTTTAATTAAAATTTTTACATGCAAAAATGTTTGGCTTTAATAAAGGTTTTATGTGGGTATTATATTAACGTTTTTAAAGACCATCAAAATTTAATGGAAAAGTTTTTTTGGGTTTTACATCGAAAACTCAAAATATATTCTATACAGGGTGTCCCAAAATAAAGTGTTGTAAAAATAAGAATGTTTTTCCTCCATCATTTTTAAAGTTAGTGCAATTTTTGCCTTAATAACATATTTTTAGGAAAAATATTTTCTTAAAGAATTATCAACTAAAGTGTTTACTGACTCATTAGAAGCAAAAAAATTTCTTTGAAAAGATAACATTTAATCTGAACAGGTCATTAGTTGAATTAAACAGAAATGCCACAAGACTGATAACATTTTGTAAATGAGTAGGTTGCTTTCAAAAAAATATATTTCTTATATTATTATTGTTCGGTGAACTAAAAGCTTTGATAAATTAGTTGATGGATTTTGGCCCATTCAATTCGGCATCAAACATGAAAAACTTTGCTATAACAATACCTGTTGATCATCTGAAGAGCAATAAGTCTCGACCTAAAAAAATATATAACAAATTTCTCAAATATCAATTTTTATTTACAGAATAAACTTTTTTTATTGTTAATAAAATTCTCATTTACTATAATGAAGCAGCAATATTGAGCTTTTATTAAAAAATGTTCATCCAACAAAGTAATAGTTGTTATCATATTGTCATGGCAATAAGAAATACTTTATGTTTATATTAAATCTTTGTCGAACTTAAAATGTTTTTGTTAAATCTATAGTTGTGTGTGAATTGCGCAGTTGTTATAGTAAAATTTGTTCATTTTACTATGGCATATTTGTCTTTTTTAAATTACTATCATTGTAATTCAAATTAATAAAAGACTTTTTTAATATTTACTATTGTTTTGCAATGGTAACAAAATTTTTGTTATTTCCCTTAAAAAGAGGGGGAAAGGGCCAGCGCTCTCCTTGGTGAACACAACTTTATAATCCACAGTCTGTTATAATCTTATTGATTTCACTTGTGCGAGTGAAGTGTGGTAAAATCTAGCATGATAAAAATATCAAAAAGATCACTAAAAAAATTAAAATTTCGACGTTTTCTAAAAGAAATATTTAAGGTCTATTCTATAAACGAAGCGACTTGTTTAAAAAGTGAATTCATATTTTTTTCTATTTTGTACATCAAATAATATGAGTTAATTTGTTTGTTATAATAAATAATTTGATTTAATGCCTTGCAATTATTTAAAAAAACTACCCAACACCCAACAGTAGGTTGAAAATGTGACCATTGCACAGTGTGTTAAATTAATTATCTAGCTAGACAAAACCTAATTAAAAAACAACCTGAAATAAAGACAAATTTTATTAAATAAGCTTCTTCAGTTCTCCCTGTTATGATTTTCATTACTTAGAGCGTACTGCAACAGTGTATTTAGCACTATGCAGGCGCCAGTTCCGGGCGTATCATTTTTTATAAACATACTTAGCCGTGTATGCGTTGCAAAAAGGTGGTTTGATTTTGACATTGTGTC